TTCTCACTCATGCACTCTAGTTGGGTTGTGGCAGGTCTGTTAGAGAGGAACTCAGATTGGTCTGGACTTAATTGTTGTTAAAAATAATTGAAAGCTTAATTGTTTTTTAAACTCCGGTTCCATTCTTTGAGTTATATCAAAGGAAAGAAATAGGTGGGCTTTTAAAAATAAGGAAATTTTTATATGTGTTGGAAAGGATACTCAGTTTTCCACCTTATTTTTGAGGCATTGTGGTGGAGCTCTTCTGACACTGCGTCTTCGAATTTCTTAGATATTTTTTTTCTTTAGGTTGTGAATAGGAGGCACCTCCTTGGTGCTCTGTAAAAGTAAACATATATTATTCTAGCTTATGGTCGTCTATTCTTATATGTTGGGTCATTTCTTCAGTGCCATGAGCAGGAAACGGGAAAATTCTGTCACCTTTATTGTCCTTCATCTTTACTTCACGTCTATCGGTACCAATAAGCTGAGTTACTGAACTTTTATAAGGATAAATAAGCAATGTTAGGATAATGATTACAATGGCATTAAGCAAAATTACTTAAACTCTTGAGATTGATACCATTCAAAAGTTTGCATGTACCATAGAATGAGTGCGTAAATTAATTCACTAATATTTTATGAGGAATTACTAATGTCCACTATGAGGTAATTTGAGGACTAGCGTATTGACCAAATTCCAGAAAAGTTTCAGTGGTAACCACTGAACATCGAATTTTGCAGTTTGGTTCATGTCCTGGTGACTCATTTTTCAAAACTAGTAGAACTGGTTATAGCTGTTATAAATTTTTCTGTTTTGGCGGGTCACGGCATTGTGAGGCATGTATGCCAAACTCATCATTTTAGGTGTATCAATGTATCGTGGGACTCTCTGCTCGAGTCTACTAGGCACATCTAAAAAATTGCAATTGAAGTCAATCTTGATTATCTTCATCCATTGTTCTGATTTTTTTGTACCCGATCAACAAATTTAGCAATCTCTTGACCAATCTCTTAGAATTCATCTGGGAAGGACAAGAAATTTACAGATCCCATGCGAGCTATACTTCAACCATATATGGGTTGAGTCATGAAATTATATGGAGGTGCTGGATGATAATAACTTAGGCTACATGGAAATCCATTCAAGAAATAATGCATTCAAAGACTAGTGAGAATTGGAAAATTACACAAAAATAGTTCAATGAACAGCTCATTGTGGATGATTAAAAATGTTCCTTGATCTTAAATAGCGATACTTTGATTCTATTAATTTCGAATACCTATTACTGTCCCTTTAACGTGACCAATGTGCCTGCCTTAGTTGGAAGGGTCATATTCTGTTGCCTCTTGTGAATTCTGCTTGACTGTATGATTTAGTGTCTTCCCTTGTCAAATTTGCATTTTCCAATTGTTAATACAGCTGAGAGGGCATGGTGCTTTGTACTGCTGACAAATAAATTTTCTTGTAAAAACCCTTCTGCTCTCTTGATTGAAGTGCAATAAGTCGGAGAAATGTTTTACTAAAATGGATACTCTATTCATTTGCTTTTCCTCTTAGGCTTTGGAAGCTATGCAGATGGTACTGAATATGACAAACAGTAAAAGAGTAGATGCTGAGTTATTAGGGAAAATCACTGAAGAGATAGAAAAAAGAGCTGGAAGTTCTACCAATCAAAATCAATCTCCTGATTCTGATGCAGAGTTGGATAACGATTCAGGATGTAATGATCCTCAGGCTGGGAGACAACGGCAAAGGGAGCACTTGGTAGACTCTCTCGGAAAGATATTACAGCAGGTTTGCTATTTTTTCCTAATCACTATGTGTTCATTTCAACCTCTGAAATGAAAAGCTTCATTTATTCCTCTAAATAAATAGCCAAAGCAGGCATATTTTTTTCTGCGGCTTGTCGCTGGTATCTATCCAGAACCTACTACATGGATCGTGTATAAATCATGAGAAACCAAAGTCTTTTGTGACTTATCTCTGCTTGCCGAAGCCTCGATCCTCAAATGATAGTCATTTTTTTTTCCATAAGATGGATATCCTAACATTTTTGTTATTTTCAAGCTTGATTATGTACATTAAACATTAACTGCTTATATGACGTCAATTTCCAACTATTTGGCAAGCTTTTCATGTTAAGTTATTTTATGAGTGAGCTCAATGAGGTTAACTCTATGTACTCATCATGCCATAGTGTTCATGTTTATAGAAATCCACTATTGCGTGTCCCCGCCCTGATCTAATCCCCTGTTTAACAATTTCCATTTGGCAAGAGCCAGACAAATGTGCATTTGATGCCATGAAACTGTACTGTACATACCAGCTAAATGATGACTAGAGCATTTGAGATCATAATTATCCAAATGCAAAGGTTTTAGGGTGAAAATTAAATGATGCATCTGTAATCAATTGTAACAAGTACTGAGATGAGAAAATATGATTTTTTGTTTTAGATGCAAATCTCGTAAATCTCTTTCAATGCAGATAGTTCGAAGTGGTGCCGGAGCAGATGTGTGGGGGTTATATGCAAGGTGGCACAAAATGAAAGGAGATCTTGTAATGTGCTCTGAAGCCCTATTGAAGCAAGTTAGGTCGTATCAGGTACAGTCTCAAATACTGTCGCAAAGAGGCATCTAGGTGACTGCTTCGTATGGTAGTCCAATAGTCCAATGTATGGTTCTTGTTTAGTTTCAGTTTTGTGCTAAAATCGACCAAATTGAAAGTTTATTCTGGTCAATCTGCCGATCAAACCAAACTAGACTTTCTTTAGCCTGTTTCACAGTGAAAATATAACTGTGGTACTAAATCATCTTGTCCATTTGATAAACCACTTTATGAATAATTTTTAACCCATACGTCTTGGATCCATGGAGTCAGTATTTTCGATAAGTTAGCTTCTCTTAGTTCAATATTTTATGATTATATTAAACGTCCAAAATGTGATATCTCTCCCTCTATTTCTCAGGGGTCAGATTTGTGGAAGGATAGTGATCGGTTTAAGAAGTTCGCCTTGGCCTCCTTGGACCTTTGCAGAGTATATATGGAAATTTCATCATCTACTGGAAACCGAAGAGAACTCCTTGCAGCTGAGATGCACTTGAAAAGCATCATTAGACAGGCAAGCATGCCGCATTGCCTGTTTGAAATGACTTTAGGTTTCAGTTCTTTGCAATTTGTAGTAGAGAAATTAAACCGGCTTAATGAATTTAAACTGCTGTCATTTATTACAATAAAATTGTTTTCGGCATGGTCTGGTGGACAATCACTAATATGGGTATCGATTTCAATTCAGGCTGGAAACTTTGTTGACACCAGAGAATTCTCTGATATCCAATGTTGCCTCGATGATGTCAAGAAGAAACTTGAATCTGTTGCTGTTGCTTGAAGGTTGGACAGCTTCTCGAAGGTGTGCTCTCCTTTCCTAAGGTTCTATGATAATGTTGGTCAATGTGGTGCGGTCCTTCTGTACAGTTGTAATGAGTTTCCATCACTATAATAAGCGTATTCATTCACTGTATTCTTGTCATGGTAGGCAAAACTACTCGGTTTTACACTCATCAGACATCTGTTCCCATGTAAATAGTCTTCTTTAAGTAAATTATAGGAAATTTGCGAAGGTAGATTCAAGTCATCAGTGTACCTCCTAATATGATAGGAAACCCGATTTGAACTTGACATGAGAATGGATACGATACTTTGTTCTAGTATTTTTCTTGCTTTGACCCTCTGCCATTGAAGTTGTAGAGATATTGCTATTGTGTTTCTCCTTTAGTATAAATTGCTCCATATGGCTGACCATTGATTTATGAGCTGCATTGTTCCAGGATGTATGGTTTGATCTGATAATTGGCCAAACAATGCACAAATAAGCAAATATCAGACTGGTGATGGCGGCCGACATGTTTGGCTGAGTGCCGAGTGGGCTTCTCGTGTAAAATATGTTGCCTGGGGAAAAAGGGACAACCCAGAAGGTTGCAAGAAATTCTTCTCGCAGCTAACATGCTAAAGGATCTTCTTATTGCAGATAAGAATTTTAAGTCTGGCATGAAAGTGGTGTTCAGGTTAGAAATTTTTAACATTGTGTATTCTTTTGGTAAACAACGTTATAGTTTAGGTGTGATCTTTTTGGGTCATCAACAGTGTAGTTGGCATCGTCATTCTCCAAGAGAAGCAACCCGACATGTCACTTGGTGTCAATGGTCTAAACTTCTAGCATAATGATGTTGCATAGATACAAATTGTTTTTCTTTTTATAAGTGGTTCCAAGCCAAAGCTGTTGTAATCCAGGGATTGATCCAATTTGAAAGAAATTGTATCTTTCTTAGTTATCCTAGTGGCTGGTGTCACTTCGAACTATTTATAGACTTTGTTTTTGGCCACCTTACTGATGCTTGTTATATATACTCGAAATCTTTCAAGAAATTTCTTTATACGCGAAAACTAAGAGTGAGGATCAAGACCCAGAACTTTTTTTATCCGTGCGCTGATATTGTCATAGTTAATTGCTTTTTTCCACAGCCAATGTGCGTTCTAATATCTTGTTAAATAACACGAACGTTACCTTTACAATTTGATCTAATTTGTAGGTATGGAATCTCCAACGCTGTAATCCATTAGCTATTTAGTACAATCGTCTAATTAGATCAATTATCATAAATCACATGCGAACATAGACACCGGCATGTACAGATCTTCAATCGTTGAAGCATCAAAGCTGTTGTCCAGAAAACCACAGAAGATGATGAACGTAACAGCATCAGATAATTGTCCCCTCGGCTGCTAGTCCCGTGCAAAGCCTGGTGTTGATCCCACGACACCATCACACAGAGACTTCACCTTATATTCACAATAGAGCATCCATATCAAAAAGTCCAACAAGAAAATCACGAAAATTTTGATTCTATTGAAACATACGAGAAATCTGCATGCTGAGCAACTGTAAATTATACTCAGGAGTCACCACAGAGCCGATAAGTACGGTTTGGCCTTAGAGAAAAAAGGGGACAATACGATCAGAAGAAAAGAGCCCATATCCTCTTTGTGTTTGGGCGATCTTTCGTGCATCTCCGTGGCTGTTGATTAGTGAGGTACAATTGGAAGAGAAAATCCTAGATGGGAAAAATCATTAAAGATCCAAAAATGTTCTGTACCACATTACAAGAGAAACTATAGGGAGTGTGTGGGCGACAAAACTGGCACATAAGGCCAATCAAACTTCTCCAGTGTTTTCAGCTGTGCCATCTACTCTATATGTCCAAGCGACTGGTGTAGGTCATGCCTTCCACGCTTGCAAGGTCTTTTCCCTCAGAGCTGCTTCTTTTTGTCTATATTAGCAGCGGCATGCCTTTGCCGTTTCCTCCAAGCGGGGATCTTCCCGGGGAAAGCCCACCTCAACAATCTCTCCCACGAGTAGCAGGTCAAAAACATAATGAGAGCCCAAAGTAATAACTTATCCCTCATCCCAGGTGGCAAAGGCACCAATTTTAACCCGTCATTCAAGTCCCTGAATATATCAGACGTGATGACAGTGAAGAATCCAACAGCAGCCAAAAGGGCATACAAGAAGGGTTTATTCTCAGAAATGCTCTGGTTGAATGGATGTCCCATGTAATTCACGGCGAAGGTCGCCACCTGGAGCATCATGTTCACCATGTAAGAAACTGTATTCACCAGATTGGGATGAAATTGGGAATCTGGCTCAATGCATTCCTCAGGCATGTGCCTTTCGGCCTCCTTCACAGAAGAAATCAAGAAGAACAGATGGATTGCAAACTGACCCAGGAGGGAGAGGAGGACATAGGAACAGAAGACATTAGGGTGAGGTCTTTCGGCTGAAAGAGTTGGGAGGGGCCTTGCATGTGAGATGAACAAGAAAAAGGCGGCAGTAAATACCCCACTGATTGTAGCCTGCACATCACCGAGCTTGACGCCATCCAAGTACATCACACTCAGCACATATGCTGTTGCTAGGCAGTTCAGACCAAGTATCTTAAACATTTGCAGCGTGGTGACCAGGGTGCTGCGTCCCTGACGAATTATGTCAGTGGTGGGGGCAACAGACGCATGCTTTGCTGTAAAGGGTGATGCCATTGAGGCGTCGCCAAGCTTGACAACAGGAGCTGAGCGACCATCTGGATCCTCATTCAACTCATCCATCATCTTCTTTAGCTTCTGTCGTTGTGCCTCAGCAGCCGTCACATGACGATTAGCAATTGGCTGACCTGCCGTTTCTGACCTTGTGACAGCTTTACTCTTTGAACCTTCTCCATTCACATTTACATTTTTTCCTGATGATTCAGATGAAAGCTTGGATTTCTTTGGTTTCAAAGATTTTGAAGTTTCATCTTTTGAAGACTCTTTGGAAGTACTTCCACTTTGCTGCGGAGGAACCGCATTCAATAAAGCAACTCCCACGTGGGCCTATAAAGACATAAGCAAACTTATAAAATAAGAGTAAATAAGGCGCAAAACAATAACACAAATTTAGCAGTGATACATTTACAAAACAAAGAGAGAAACCTTGCATGATTCAATTTCAAAATAAAGGAAAGGATAAGGCTCGAGATGTGCAAGTGGGTGGGGGATCTGTGCACAAGCAATGTGTCCCTGTGCCCATGACAGAGAGAGAGAGAGAGAGAGAGAGAGATTTCTTTTCATTGAACTCTTTCCCCGCTGAAGCAGAACCCAAAAAGCAGATCACAGAAGAACAGATAGGGTGAAGGCCATACTAGCTTATCCAGTCAAACGTTTCTTTTTTTCTTTAAGATAAAAGTGGAATATGGACTTCCATTTCAAGTAACAATTCTGAAATGGACCGTAGTCAGAAATGAACTCTACCGATTTAGGCAGCATCATGTGTGAGAACTTTGCTATGACTTGGCAATTATCAGGTAGATAGTCAAATAGTTAAATTTTCCAATCAACTTAGTAAGAGCACCAAGTATCTTTTCTATTAGTTTATTTAGAATCTCAAGCTTAAGAGGCTTTAGCTTAAGATGTTAGATTGACCATGGGAATCGAGACAAGCCAAGCTTGTGACTTGGATATCGAGACAAGCCAAGCTTGAGTTGGTCTCAAACATGAAATATCGAGCTCTATTGAGCTTTGGTAGATTATTGAGCCTCAAGTTTAAAAATAAAGATGACTGATGAGTTGCAGTTATTGTGCTGCTTCATCAGGTTCAACCCTCTTGTACCACCCGTGAAACTGTACATAAAAAAATATCCAGAAAGTATCTGATCGGTGAACAGTACACTACCTGCTTCAAAGCCCCAACATCATTTGTTCCATCTCCGCACATCAATGTCATCCTTCCCACTGATTTGAATGTGGTCATGATGAGTTCTTTTTGCTGAGGAGCAACTCTTGCAAAAACCTGAGACAAATGATATGATACAATTAGATAAATACAAGATGCACAAGTTGTATCGCAGATTCACAGAGTAAATGGTAACCTTAACATAGGGGATGACATGAAGAATAGCATTTGTGCGTTGTAACATTTCGATGCAGTCACCTCCAATACAAAGATCATGGGTGTCTGACAAAGCTTCAACTTCTTTCTCACTGAAGACAAACACATTTTCTCAATTCAAAGAGAAACAAAATTCAACTTCACATCTGAATGAAAAGAACAGACTTTCATTTTCATCAGATTCTTACCGGAAAAAAATCAAATAAATACAGACGTCCACACACCCATCACTGCAAAAGCACACAAGAATCTATATACGTACATATACAAACATGTGTATGTGTTAACGTGCGCGCGTGGATTTAACATGTGTACCCACAGAGAGGAAAACACGCATCAATCTTAATAGAGATTAAATACATGGCAAAGGAAATAGCATATTACCACCAACAGAAAAAAGGAGAATGGCATCAAGTTATTTCACCCACAGACCGAAAAAAAAGGAGGAAGAAGAGGAAGATATCAAGGAACAGCAGCAATCAGCAATGTGAAATGTTTCTTCTCCATTTTACTCAAGTTCTGTTTCCTTGCTCTACCACTGGCTTTTTTGGTGAAATTATAATATGACACAAAAGAAGTGGCAATGGGTGGGAATAATTTGTGCTCAACTAATAAGTCGGTGGATAAATTTTCATCCATTTACATGAGCTAGAAATGCTTATTGACTCTATGGAATCAACTTCAAGTATGCTCTAAACAACATCAGGATGACAGAGGAGGACGACCAGCAGCAACAACTATTATCAAATGAAACAAAGTATTCCAAAAATACATAGCAGCAATTACAAGGTGAAACATTGAAAGAAACCGGTCAGGTAGATTACCTGTAACGATGTGTGTCCATCTCATCAGGTGAAATCCACTCATAGCCCGTGGTGCTCCTAGCAGGAGTTAGGATCAACACAGGTTTTGAGATGATATGAACTTGGCCCGCAACATGACAAGCAGTCAAAGCTTGGTCACCAGTAATCATTGCCTAACAACAAGAACAACATTAATGACAATACACCAATCCTACTCAACATGTACGAGATGGTTAGACAGCAACCATTCATATTTAGTGGGGGTCTTGCTCCCCTTAATATTCTCACGTCTGTTTGGTACCCTTTTCTATTAGTTTCACCCCTATAATTCTGCGAGCTTTGACCACACTACGTTCGACAACCTAATTCAACATCATTAGAGTTGAAAAATTCAATTTCCTACATGCCTATGACTATTTCATGCATGTCTCACATTAAACAGGTACAATTTCCAATTGTAAGAAGCCTGGTTCCACCATTGACGTTGCACGAGAGGGTAGGTACACGAGCCAATCAAACTTGACTCATCAGATGCTTGAGATCAGCATATTTTTATTAAGTAGAGTCAAAATTTGAGGAGTTCAAGTAACAAAATCAATCGAGTTTCAGTGTGGTAATACCCAACTTTGGGTGGCTCACAAATCCAATCAGGGGGTTGGATTGAAATTAAGCAGTCCGAGTCTAAAAGGAATATTTTGAGACCAAATGAAGTACTTGACCCAAGTGGCCAGTAAGCTTAATTCCAGTACTACTTGACCAAAATGGCAAGTAAGCTTAATCTGAGTAGCTGGATGATGTTAAAATTAATCACACAGAGCGAAATGACATTACATGCACATTTTATTCTACTCACAAATCTGAGTTGGAGCAACTTTCACATTTAAAATTTATCTTTTATAATCAAGTCAAGTGAGCTTAAGCTTGAGCACATACATAATGCATCAAGTCAAGCTCAAACTCATGAAATTGAGTTTTATCAGATTCAAGACTAACGTAAACCCTTCAGTTTTCCTTAAGTTGGGCCAAGTTGGAATAGTAAACCAAGCAACTCTGCCCAGAGTAAAGAGAAATTCGGGGTAAGTGCAGCGCAAGTGCCATAACTTTTGTACGGAGGACACTTAAGTGCCATTAACTTTATTTTGGCTCACTTGAGTGCCATAACTTTCAAAAAAAAGATCACTTAAGTGCCACTTGCGAGCTGGTCGTGAGGGCCCGAAATCGCGGCTTTTCCGGCCGAACCATGACCTTCCCGGGGAGGCGAGCACCACCAGCTTGAAGAGGGGGTGTCGGTGAATTATTCCATGGCCTCCGTTCATCTCAAAATTTCCGTTTTAGCCTCCATTGACGAAGGTAAAAATGCTTCGTAGTCACACATTTATCGAGCCGATTTGTGAGACTACGAAGCATTTTTACCTTCACAACTGAGGCTAAAACGGAAATTTCGAGACGAACGGAGGCCATGGAATGATTCACCGACACCCCTCTTCAAGCCGGTGGTGCTCGCCTCGCCGGGAACGTCATCGTTTGGCCGGAAAAGCCGCGGTTTTGGGCACTCACGATCAGCTCGTAAGTGGCACTTAGTGATCTTTTTTCTTGAAAGTTATGGCACTCAAGTGAGCCAAAAAAAAGTTATGGCACTTAAGTGTCCTCCGTATAAAAGTTATGGCACTTGCGCTGTACTTACCCTAGAGAAATTCACTACCAGGCACCAAGAGTGCCAACACATTTAGAAACAAAGCTCAATGTCAAAAGAGAGCTCATTTACGAGACAAGGAATCCAGAGTACCAATCAAAGCTTTTATATCCAATAGCAAATCCACATTGTACCAAAGTGTTCCAAACCGACCAAAAATATGAAAAAGGAACCGGGGAAATCCACTTTATCATAGGACGAGGGATTTCAAAAACCTGCCACACATACAATTCTTGCTCAGTAGACCCTTCATGACCCCACTTAGCCCACTCTCAGTTCATTGCCCCCTACAACATTATGTTCTAGCTCCATCTATATAGGCAATGGAAAATGGTAGCATTCCCAGATGCATTTCCATTAACTTACATGCGTTCACCACCGACGTAAGACTCTCATGGAAAAAAAAAATATGACTTAACATATTCAAGCTCAAGCATTCGGCAAGATAAGCCTTGCTCTTTTTCTTTTATTGGTCGTCAATAAGCCTTCGTTAGAGGCTGAGTTGATTTTTTGGAGCAGGGGGAGGAAGATACAAATGGTTAGTGATAGCCACATACTATGTCAAGATTCCGAGGAGTCAGATCTAGATTTTATGCAGACTCTTTAATATATCTGTCTCGATCAAAGAATCTGACTTTCTCACTATATGCAGCGCACTAGTCATCTTCTAAAGGAAAGAAGTGATAATTCAAGATAATTCGGGATACTAGGTGTGACGAGTATGAGTTTACTAGTCAGTTTGGGTATCCAATGACATTAATTGTATAAGTGTGGAGGTGGGTGAAAATGGGTTAAATAAATCATTTGAGTCCCATCCATATTCAAATTAACTTTTCCTTACTTTCACGAAAGACCAATTATAACTCTAAAGATAAATTCGATACGGTTAAGTCAAACTTATAAGTATTTAATAAATATCATAATTCAATATCTAACACAAGGCGTTTCTAACCAAGTCATGTGATGATGCTTTGAGCTCAGACAAAACCGTGGCTGAATCTGCTCTGATAGGACAGTTGAATACCTGCAACGCGAGAAATAGACCAAATCAAGCAAGGAGTCACAATAAACCAGTATAAGTGGAAAGAAGAAAAAGAAGAACTTAGTTACTTACGGCAAAACCAGCAAATGTCAGACCACTTTCCACCATATCTCTCTCCAAGTTTCTAGCCTCGCTAACCTTCACACAATTAACAGGACAATCAGCATGAAACGGAGACCGCATAAAAATGTTCACCGCTATTTTGGCTCAACAGAAGCAAGTTGAAAGCATTTACAACAAGCAACAGGAGTTCTTCATTTGAAGTATTAAAGAGAAAAGGAACAAGAGTTTTTATTGTTCTTCCTCCTCAAAAATGAGATTGCCATGCTTCAAAAGACCACAAATTATGTGACGATCCAAGACCCCAATAATGTGTTTCTTACAGGTCCCCAAATCAATCTTAAGCAAGGTTTAACAAATGCAAAGATGCAAACTGTAGATACACTTTCGAAAACTTAAATTAGTGGGAAGGTAAGATTTAGAGTATATGTGCTTGATAATTCGGTGTAACCTTCAACAGGCTGTAATCTTCAACATGTATTTGACTTTTTTTATGTCCAGCTCCTTCTCTCAAGGTTAGAGCCCTTTCCTTATTCAAGAAAAAACAGGATGAAGGGCAAAAATCTTAAAATCTGAAACAGAATTAAATGGATAATTGTTATTGAGATCAGCTTCCAGAACTTCCATAGAGATCAAAGCGATGAGGAGATAACTTTATAACTACAAGATGATTCATTCTTATCCCATTCACCAATTCCTTCTTAATTTACTCTTTCGCGCTTTAATTTAGCCAGTACACATCTCAAGTTGGCTCAAATGAAAGTAAGCTGCCATTTATAAAAATCAGTAGTACAACATAACAGTTTTCAGGTTTTATTGATTAACACTCCGCTTGTACAACTCAAATGCAGCTCATAGGAAGCTTCAATCCCCAGCAGTTAAAAAATAAATCAAATATATGATACAAAGAAATAAATAAGAACTCTGCAGGTGGGCCAAAAGATGGCTGGAAGTGCCTTGTAAGCAAGGGCAAGAACAATGCAAATGAGCCAAAAGAACACTTACTGTCATGTCTGGAAGTGCCTTGTAAGCAAGGGCAAGTACACGAGAACCCTGACGTGTGTATCTCTTGTAAGTCTCCACATAATATGGTGGCAAGTCAACCAGTCTATCTTGAATTGTTTCTGGTGCGCCCTAAACAAATAGGACATATATAATTCATCAACTTTGAGAATCTCAGCATGCTACATCATTTCTATGGGCTGAAAACGGAAGAACACTGATCTTCAAGTGGCCAAAAAGCAAAAGTTTTCCGTAGGAAAGCACAATTTTTCTCTCCAATATACTGTTCTTCCTTGCAGAAAAAATTCTTAAGTGGACAAAGAGGTTCCTGTACTAAGGTGTCAGTGCCAGCTAATCTAATTTGCACATTTTATCTATAAGCATACATTCATACAGTCCTTGGGATATTAAATTCATGAGCAATAATACCTTAACAAAAGCAAAAAATTCCTCTTGAATACGAACAACAACTGCCATACGCTTTAAGTGGGAGGCAAAGTGATGTCTCTGAACAATCTGCACAGCTTCACCACCTCCCCTGCATAAGAAAAAGAGATCAGATAAAGGCTTAATATGTGCACAGGAACCAACGGAAGAACAGATAAAAGAAATGACATGCTTGCCCAAAAGACAGATTCACCTTTTCTATCAAATAAATCTATTTCAGTGAAGGTCTATTAATATTAACGGACCATTATCATCAACTAAATCAGATACATAATTATATTCATGTTAATTTCGAATACCATGTGCTTAATATATGCAAGCCCACCAGACTTCTCATAGTTGTCAATAGCTTAAAATCATGTTATGTTTGAGAAATCAAATCCTCCAAGAAAATTTGACGAGAAATTTCAAACCAATACACAACTCAACTCACTTCTTCGGCATGGCCTTCTCATCAGATTTGTAACTCCAGTCTATTCCTTTAAGAGCAGCCTTCTCAAGAGGATCTCCTACCTATAGAAGCGATGAACCACAAAAACGAAATACGCATTAGATTACATCATTTTCCTTTGACCCTCTTTCTTGGGAGGGGAGAGGGGGAAACAATTGGCGTAGCATTAACAAGACCATTTTAATATGTGCAAAAGGGCACTGGTTTAGCCCAACTGTATATATATGCACTCTTTTTATTTTAATCACTTATGCTACAAGGGACCTATTCTTGCCACCTCTATACATATCCCCAGAATTAGAGTTGTTACCTCATTCAAAGATGCTCCTATAGACCTTTTCTTCTAAAAGCTAAGATACTCATATGGACTTACTTCACGTGAAAGAAGATTTATCCAAATACCACACAATAGCGACAAAAGATCAGTTGAAACAATTTAAAAGCTTCAAGTATACTTGGCGTTCTCCATGGACACCAAGTATCTACTCAAGTGAAAAAAGAAGAAGAGGAGCGAGGATAGTATTGCTAGAAGTCAACTAACCTATCCTCTGAAGTCTGAACCATATTCCTTCAACCAGTAAAATGAAGATAAAATTTTACCTGACATAACAAATCCAAGGACTACTTCTGGTTGAACATCATAACATAATGTAGTTGGCTTGCATGCCGTACATTTTAACCTCAGGATGAGCATGCAACCTCTAAGCATTTAATTAAAATCAGCAAAAAGGTACATCATCGATCTCTACTAGCATACCAGCCTGTTGTCCACGAACACCAATGCATGACAAGAAGCCAAAATTTCCAGGGCACGAACTGGCACTTTTGACATATCAGATTCCAAATCTGTTCTTCCAGACAATCCACCCACTCCACAAAACTCCTGATATAAGAATAAACAAAGAAGATGTAACATATAACTTTTCAAACAATGACAAAGACTTCTTTCTTTGCTTCAATATACCATGTCATCCGATGTAAGTGTTCCGGTCTTATCAAAACAGCATATATCAACCTGCAAAATAGAAGGTTTAAGAAATTACAAAAAAAAATCTTAAATTAGCAGTCAGATGATCCACATTGCCGATCGTCTTCAAGCCCATTAAAACAAATAATTGACAAAGGAGAAATGGGGATTGTCTACCTTCCCAGCAAATGGAATCCGAAATGGTTCAGTACAATATATCCCGCGACGTGCCAGTGCAATCAGCGATGTATTAACAGCTATCGACAACTCCATTGGCAATTCAGGAGGGATAACAGAAGTAATAATGAGTGAACAACTAAGGAGAAGCTTATACTTGCTCCTGGTGGGATCCTCCAATCCCTACACCAATAGTATAACAATGTCATCCACATAAATAAGATCAACATGCACCAGAAATACTTTATAAAAGTTGATGAGGATTTCCTTACCTTCTTAAGTACATAACCAGCAGCTATTACTGCAAATATTACTAAGAAACATATGAACAACCCACTCTCCCAGCTGTTCGCAGTGACCTGCAATATGCATAAATAATTCATCTCAACATATGTTTACAAGAACATCACTCCACATAGTTTCCAATCCTATGTGATGGTTTGAAATTCGGAAACCTACCCTCTCTGTGGAAAATAAAATTGTTCGCATCAGCTTTCCCTGACTTGTTTCAAAGCCTGTCCTCAGAACAACGGCTGGGCAACCGCCATCTGGAGTTCTCAGAGGAAAAGTCTGACATAGATTAAAAGACGCGAAGGGTAAGCTAAGACTTCACCATAACCAAACTAAAAAGACCCAGAAGAAACTACCTTATCAGGAGTATGTTGCAGTATCTTAGTCCCACCGAACAAGACATGGCTTTTATCTCGCTTCACAGACAACTTCTCCTCAAAACCCCTACCCGCTACAGAGACCTGCCCAATCAAACCTAACAAACTTTATGTGTGTTTACTTCCGGTACAAACACGGAATGGCTCCAATCTCCATCATCCATCAGAATGCAGCTAATTCACAGATGAATACATCCTCAAAGTACAAGAAATAATTACCAGTTTTAACATTTTAATGACATAATCCTACAATTTAGCCAAACAAAACCCAAGTTCTCCATAGTTATCAACCTTATCAACCTTCCATACAATCTGTACCTAATAAAAGTACATTTTGCTGATTCCATTAACAAAAGACAAAAAGAAAAGAAAATATATTGTCAGCAACCCGCTGAAAAGAGTCAGCATTATTTTTATGGTCAAACAAGCAATCCACTTCAAACCAAATAGATGAAGACCAGCAAAACACAGAAATCCAAATCCACAAGCAACTGCAATCCAGATAAATAGCTAGCCATTTTAAATTAAACCTTCACAAACTATAATCTTGCTTTAGTTATTAAGATAAACCAATCTTCAAATACTATACTGGAAATTCAATTACAAAGAATCAATTTCACACGCCATAGCAGTCCTGAAGAAATTCAGCAGGATCTGGCTTAAGGAACTTTATAAAACCAAGAAACAGGATTGGAGCAGTACTTGTTCATAATTGAAGATATTCTTGACTTGCGTCCTCCAGTAAACCACAAATACAAGAGGGCAAAGGGCAAATGCAAGTGAAAACCCAAACATAATGACATATAATGCAAATGACGACATAACAAGCACATACGATCATAAAGACAACTAGAGAAGAGAACAACCTTCCATTGAGGAGTAGACTCGCCTGTAAGAATCGCCTCATTCACAATAGCAGTACCAGCCAATATAAGCATGTCTGCTGGAACAGACTTGTCTTCTCCATTCAGGCCAGAAGAGCGCCCAATTGAGACGATATCACCAGGCAAAAGGTCAGTCCCTGGTAGTTTCACCCACCTATAAGCAAAAGCATCCGACAGATTATTATTAATCAAGGAAAACCAGCAAGAAAGAAAGTCCAATTAATGAGAAGATACGTACTTGCCACCCCGATGCACCATTAAGGTCTGGCCATCAACTCTAACACGCCTTAGCTCAGTCAAAGTTTTTAACCGACTTTTTGCCATTGTAGACTCAAACATGAACAGCATGAACAGGGTGAACAAACTGTAGTACCAGTATTCATCCAAACACCAGAGCCCTACGCAGAAAACCTATAACAAAAGGCAATCGCATGAACCACAAACAAGAAAACTACTACACAAAGGAAATGCAGCGGCATCATATATGTTTGTCGTTTTTTTTTTTAATTGTGTGTGGCGAGAGAGAGAGAGGACAAACCTGAAACACAAAAAATGGTTCCATGCAGTTCTCTTTCATTAATTTCTGAAATGTAGGTTGCGGATAATCAAATCTGCATAGAGGAAAATAGTGGAGTATAAATCAATTAAAAATGCTAGAGATGATGCCTCAACAGAAAAATCTTGGCCAAAAGTTAACATCAGATTGATATGACAGACAAAACAAAGCTCATGCTCAATCTGCACACATGGGTGGGCACATATATAGATTTCCGGTAACCTTCTTCTGCAAGCCAACAGGATATGCATAAAATGTGTTAACGGTACATGCTATGCTAGGATTAGATATTCTTTAGCTCTTGAGCTCCCTTTTCCAAAGCTCTATATCCATAAATATGCATGACCAACCCCATACAGCACCCGAAATAGTGAATTGAAATATTTATTGCTATCTTCTTCATGGCAATAGAAACATTTCATTCAACCAATAAGAAAATTAACTAAAACCAATAGAACAAGCAATAAACCAGACAGACATCCAGAAAAATTTATGAAAATGAGTGAAAGACTCGAGAGGTTTAACAATTGCTATATGACTGAAAATATAGCAAGACATGCTGATCCACGAAGTATCTTAAAAATTTCATTTGCTCAAAAAGACTGATAAGAGCTTAACAAAAAATTTCCAAGTTTGCCCCTAGCAAGGGATGAGCACCTGGGGTCAAAAATGACCGATAACTCCATCTGAAAGACCAACAGCTTCTATGATAAAACTAAAAAATAACTGGCAGAATATTCTAAACGCCATTAACGGCCTTCCATTGGAAAGATTTAGTAGCCCTTGTCTTCTGAGTATTTAGTGAATTTATTACCAAATCTAATTTATAAGTCAAAGTAATTGGTGTCACCAGACATGCTTATTTTCATTAGAAATTGAACATTCTATTTTCAACACGTCATGAGTTATCCAACAGGACCTAAGTTTCTCATGTCTGAAGTGATCTATGCAGGTAGAAGCAAAGGTTCAAGCAGTGTCATTCTAGCAATAACAGTCCGAGTATAGACCAGCAGCTAAAAGTCACAAGCTATTAAATTATCGAAAGAACAAGCAAACCATGTTATGTTCAAGTCCTCTATTGCTCGAGTAAGCCACGTTATGTTCAAGTCCTCTATTGCTGATTAAACACAATAGTGATAAGAACAAAAACACAGTCAGGCCATAATTATGCATAGTTTAACTACACCAGAGCTCCTGAATAGTCCTTGATACCTTATTCACATAAGAGCAGTGATGATGCTGCTACATACAAGCATAACCAACCCCCTATGCCACCCCACCCATAAAAAAAATAAGAAAAAGAAACAAAACTACACGCACACAGAGCAAGATTCAACAGGGTAACTCAATACAGATTCAAAAAGGCAACTCACACATTACGTCCCCATTTGTCTGTGGCTGCAGCAACTTTGGCATCGGTACCATGGCCAGTGTTTTTCAGATAGTAGCCAAATGTTTCCTTGGTCGGGTAAGGAAGCTTGCAAAAAGTTTTATTTTCTTTAGAGAATATGAATCTCTGCTTCCTAAAATCAAAATAAATTTCCTCCACGTCCGAAGATGATGAACCTGCCTGTCATGCAAGTATAGCAACCACATAAAAACCGCGTAAAGAAGAACAAAACAGTGTTGAAAGTTGCTCATAGCGAAAACAGCGCATTGGAGACAATTTGGCAAAAGTTGAAATGGAAAGCACAAAGAGAGATAAATGAAAGCACATTCTAGAATTTTCAAACTAGAAAGCACGGAAGCCGTCCAGCTAATAGCATCGCTTAGATTGATGTGGTAACTCCACGCCTTCAACTGGCTTAGAGAAACAACAACACATTAAAAAAACCGTCATGGTCCCTGCAACCATATGTTCCATCCAACATATGAAGGATGAGCTATGAGTATGTTTCCTTTGAGACAATTCCTGCATACAATCATGTCCTTTGCATCTTTCAGCATACCACATTAACCTCCAGCTTTCTTGAAAACCAATCTAAACATCCAATGCAACCTCAAAGACATACGACTATATTCTAGAGATTCCCTGTAAGTGCATGTAAAACACTAATCCATGATGATAACACTTAAAGCCAAATCTTGTAGAAGTCAAAAATGCTTTTTGGGGCTATCAAATTTGGTAGGACTAAATTTCCAGTATGAACATCAAATGATTGGAATCTTTCACTCTAACTAATGGGTACAGCATCACAAAAGTTAAAACATATCTTTCTGGTCCTGCCGATGAAATTCAATATTGACCATCCACAATAAGACTTCCCACATCTCGCATGCCCACCATCTTCAAGTTCAATTCCGCAAGGACAAACAATAATCATTTCAATTGATGTGGCAAAGCTCTACATTCTCTATTGAAAATTCCATGGCTCAATACATCAACCTACAGACATCTGCCAAGCAGGTCTAGTGCCATATAAAACTAAGGAACTGTCTAATGCTTTATGAAGTCTCCGTTGCTATCCAAACTTCATTGTCTAAAAAAATACTTGAACATGAACATTAACTCTTGATATCTTTTCTATGAGGAAAAAAAAAGATACTGTGAGATAATTTCATGGGATAAATTTGCTGCTATATATTAGAAGGATCTTCTAAACAAAACAAAAATCAGTAACAATTGGCCTGTAAAATTATATACTGCTGATATCGCCATATATTTAACTAATAGGTTAAAGCAGATTCTATAAGCCAACCTCAGAGTTTCGAAATTGTTTCAACAAGGAACTTCCAAATGCCTCGTCATTGCTATATGCTAATCATAGAATGGTCAATGGTTATGAATCGAGCAATCCAGGTCCAATGTGCAAACTGGATATAAAAAAGGCCTGTCCTCGTGTATGTTGGTACTTTCTCTTATATCTTTTGTCGGTGAAGGTTAAGGGGAGAAGTTTTTGCATTTCCGAACAAACTTCCTCAGATCTATCAGATTGGGAATCCACACATTTTAAAAGTTTCGAAGACCTCCAGTACGGAAGTACTTCGTCCTCTTTGGACTGCAGATACAGGAAGGAAGAGGAAGAGAGCAAAACACATATTATGAACTGTTCTTTGTAGTAGACATCAGCCTTCTATAAAGAACTTGTGAACAATTAAGGCATAAGATAGCGAAGACCTTAGCATAATATTGCTCCTTGCAAATGGAAGTTCTTGGCTTGCTCTTGAGCTGTTCTTAAAATCTTCTTCCTATTAAATTTCAGATGGTAAATGGAAAGAGAACTTGAACAAAGTTCCATCCGAGACTATGGTTTGAGAGATTGCTATTAGATTTCTCCACTCCCACTTCATTCCTTATATCACAGAAGTTAAAAGAACTGTATACGGATTTCCTTGTGGAATAACATGATAAGTCACAAAAATCCAACCAAAAAGTTAAGGTAATCTTGTAATCAGTTGAATATGGGAGGTCTAGCAGCCTCAATTTTAAAGTTTTTAAAGATGACCTTCAAATGAAAAAGTGAAACTGAGGCACAAAACAGCAATTGTTGGAAACCAACAAAACATACGGTGTACTCTGATGGGTAGCTTGTTAACATGTCCCTTACTTATTATTGAGAAAGCTGTTTGACAGGAACAACAAAGGAATCTGCCACCTCCTCTGAATCTTTTGCTGTTTAAGCAGAGAAATGATAGCAAGCTGAAGTTGGCTTGACAGAATTGTCAACATGGTCAAAATCCGCACGAATTCCTCAATACATGTGCATTGAGCAAATGGCTCCTGTGGTTTCCTTTATACAAAAAATAATAAAATCCAACCAGCAGATGAGAAACAACTTATTCTTGAAAGAAAAACGCCAGCAAGCACCTTAGGCCCCAGTTGTTAAGGCACATTTTATGCACTAAGAAGTGCGTTTGATGTACTCATCAAGTTATAGAGAAAATGCAAGCTTTCTTAGCTAGCTCTTTTGTTGTGTGTGAAAGCAAATGTCTTTGCCATCCCAAAAAATATTGAAGAACCTAGAATTGCTTAACCAGTGATGAAGAACCTACTGTGATTGAGTAAAGGCCATGGTTGAAGCACCCTGAGATGCGTCTTACTCAATTCAACAACCCACCCAAAATAGGAGAACTAAGACAGTTAAGAGAAAAAGCATTGGGAAAGCATAAACTATCACCAATGCTCTTTAAGGATCATTGTATTTTTTTTAATCTTCTACCAGCATACTGGAATTTGCTGCAACATTATTTCTCTAGTGAAATTTTCATAAAAGCATGCCCTGCTACAGCATTTTAATTTGGTTTCATATTTTCTCATATACAGCTGACATTGACCAATGCCAATAGAGCTAGAAGTATGTCAACATTGATATATTCCTACATATTTTTCCAACTTGTAACATGTATCGGCACTTCATGGGATTTTCACATCCACTGTTGCCTTGTTGAGATTCTATTCAAATCACAATGCACAATTCACCTATTTCAACAGTCCATCCTTTGCTCAACATCCACTTCTAGTGAGCAACAATCATAATTTCATAAGAAAATAATTGCAGCTATAGTTAACTATCACATACCTATATCCTATGGTTCTATGAATAAGATTCTAACTTACTAGTTTCCGAAAATGAAGTGGCACAACTTCCTTAGAGCCGGAAAACTTTGCCGGAGTTATTTTGCACGCATCAGCATGATGTATATCGTGTACCTGCAAACATCGAAAGAATCACCAATTACAAAATCAATTAGTCCAAACCACATACCACAGGCAACTGAAACCCATATTTCCACCAGAAAAAAGCACCGATCATGGGAAACCTAATCTAAGTTCCAAGAAGTTGAAAAGCTCCTTATGAGCTAGACAGTATTCCATTCCCCTCAATTTACCTCGTTTGCTCAATACTTGCATCAAGAGTGCATAAAGACAGATGACAGGTTCTCATGTGTGTATATTTTCAGCTCCAAAATAATTTTCTCTCCATTAACAATTCAAATGCTCTCTTGAGAGAAAGTCAAAAACCAAAACAAACAAAGAAGAGACATCCAGTGTAAAGGAGAATATACATGCACATGTCCGTCCACGAAAATTATACTGTCAGCACTAAGCGACTGAATGATTTCGTAATTGGGTTTTCACCCCCTTTGATGCTCTTTAGTTCAATTACCTCACTTATCTAAAAAGAAGTGATCGAATGTTTTCCTAAGCTGTCGGTATGGGACTGCAAAGTAATTTAATGTTTTCATATTCACAGCCCTCCTGAGATCATAAACTAACCACTTACCCTGCTATATTGAACGAAGCATTTGAAATCCACCGACCAGCCCGTGAAGAGCAAGACCAGAATGTGAAGACCAACAAGGCCGCCGAGCACGATGGCAGCATCCGCAAAGTCTAAGCTAGGGACGACCGCGGTCACCCAGAGGGCGTACAGAACGGCAGAGGGCCAAACATCCAGACGCCAAGTCCAGAGTTTCCTCCTCAACAAGTCGACATTTTCCACAGCCTTGCCGCCCACGTGGAACCTCGACATCTCCGATCCCGCCGCTGAGCGAAAAGAGATGAACCCATGATCACAGACTGAAGAGGCATCACAAGAAAAAAAAAAACAACGACATCCCCAGGAAACAGTATTCCCCGTCAATAAAGCGAAAACCCGCTTCGCTCGAAGCAGGGAAGCATCCAGTTTCATGAGCAGAATACTTAGTAATTTCGAAGCGAACGAAACTGCACGTACGAAGAAGAATGACAGTACCAAACTGGGCAACGAGAAAGCCAAGCGGAATCAAATCTAGGGCACTAGTGAGGGCAGCGAAAGCGCGAGACCGATCCCCCGTACCCGGAACTGGGTATCGGTATAAAGAAGCAGCAAATTCGACAAGGAAACGGTGGAATCGAAGAGCGTAGCAACAGTGAAATCGAAGAGCAAGGGGGGCGAGAGAGGGAGATGGGCGTACGCGATCCGCGGGCCAAGGCGATGATGGGCACTAGGCAAGGCGGAATCGAGGAGGAGGAGGAGGAGGAGGAGGAGATCCTAAAAAAACCCTAGATCAGATCAGTGTTGGGCGAAGAAGTAGAAAGGATTCGATCTCTCTCTCTCTCTCTCGTTCTCGATCCTATTCGTCTTCTCTCTCGACTTGATTTTTGCTTTTTGCTTTTTGCTTTTGCAGTATTAGAAAAAAAATAAAAAGTAACCCAAAGTTTCGACCTTTTTTCTGTGCAGCGGGTGCTCCCCCTCCCCACTGGTTAAGGTTTTAGTTTTGTTCCCCTTTTGACCCAAAAAACACAAGCTTTAGTTTCCCCCTCCTCCTTCTTTTTCCTTTTCCCTTTTTAGAGACAATTTTTTTTTTCTTTTTTCATATAGCGGCCAACTTTCACGCACTCTTCCGTTTTTTTGGATCTGTCGTATCTCTGACCCTTCTCTCTTTCGAACCTTTAGCTATGCTTCTTTGTATAGCGTCGGGTCGAATGCACCTATGATATTAGAGTCTCCCCACCTCACGATTCGCGCACCACCTTAACTCGTCTTGTCTTCTAAGCGATCTCAAGGGCACGCTCCTTCGTATCCGCGTATTACATTCAGAATTTTTACGCGTGAAATATTCCCAACAATATTTTGACCCCAATATCACAAGAAGAGAATGGAACTCTCTCATCATCTGCATCGACACCTTATTATTAAGAAAACTATCTCCGTAAATGAAAGAAATTATTTTTCAAAATTCTAGTTTCACTTTAATTGTTCTTAGGGATAATGACACAATTGGTCCATAAATTTTGATCCAATAAGCAATGTGGTCTCTAAACTTTAATTGTATTCAATATGATACATGAAGTTTAGCCTAATGTGCAATATGATCCATAAACTTTTAATTTGTTCGATATGGTCAATGGACTTTTGGTATATGTTCAATATAGTCCCCGAACTATATGAAAATGTTCAATACTGTCATTCCATTAATTCAAGATCAATAACATCATTAAACATTTTCATATAGTATAGGGATTAAATTGAATATATACAAAAAAAAGTTCAGGAACTACAATCCATACTAGGCTAAAGTTCATAAACCATATTAAATAAATTAAAAGTTTAGGACCACGTTGCATATTGCATCAAAATTCATGAATCATTTAAAATGAATAAAGTGACGAGTTTATAGAGAGAGATTCGCAAACGACACACACAAAATTTAAAATGACTAAAGCGACCAATTTCGTCCAATTGGCATTTAACATGGTAATCCATTTCAGGGCAAGACCCCCATTTGTTTATTGAGCTGAGCTGGATTATGGCTCTCAAGATCGACTCAATTAATTTCACGTTGTGCTTGAGCTCAAAGCTATTTAAATATTGGGATAAATGTGCCGACAATCCAAAAAAAATTCAAGAAAGTGTTATTAAGTAATAAAAAATTTTAAAAAGTGCAATTAAGTCCTAAAACTTAGTGATCAAGTCTTTTCGTTAATTTCGTCCAATATGATTAACGGAAAATGCCGACGTGGCTGTTTTTATTCTTTTCTCTCTCTTGTGCAGCACTAACGTGGTTAAAATATGAAATATAAGGCTAAAACGACGTCATTTTGGTTCATATCTTTTTTTTTTTACCTAAATTTTACTAAATTCAATAATAAAAAATTAGGACAGGGCCTACAAACCATCGTCACGGTCACCCCATCATTGCCTGAAAGGGCTGACGACGGTCGGCTAGGGTCGTTGGGCCTTGGCCAATGGCCAACGACCTTCGCCAACCGCAAGCTAAATCTAGTGGCCCTCAGCCAAATCTGGACGAGGGTCTATGCCTACAGTCAACAAGGGTCAGTATTTTGTTGCGGCCTACTTTGTTGTGTGTTTTTTTTTTAATTTAGTTTTTTTTAATCTAATTTAAATCAAATTTGGATTGAAAATTGAACAAAAATGATGTCGTTTTAGTTTCATATTTTATGTTTCTATATAGTTGAGAGAAAAAAAGAAGAAGAAGACAACATCAGCATTTTCCATTAGTTGAGTTGGACGGAGTTCAACCAAAAAAAACTTGATGAAGTTAATGAAAGAATTTGATTGCATCAATTTGACAAGTTTTAGGAATAGATTACACTTTTTGAAAGTTTTATGACTCGACTGAACTTTGCTGATAAGTTGTAAACTTCAGGTGCACATATCTCTTAAATATTTAGTCTAGTCAACTCGAGTTGAACTAATTCTCAACTCGATAGGCTCATAAATCTATCAAGTTCCTTTTATTTTTTTTTAGAAAAATTTAATAGTTATAAAACTGAACATAAGAACATAGGAATCCTAGAAATTACATCATATAACCATATTCATAGAGTTTTTAAAAATCAAGCCTGAGCCCAAGTTCCTCTAAATATATTGTAGCGAAGTGAAGTTGAACTCGAATATCTAGATTTACTATAGCTAATCAAGCTTGGGCAAAAACTTAATAGAGTCTGGATTGAGTTCCGAGCACCGAGTTTAGTCAAGCTTGGCATTGTATCGGCTCGTCTCAATTTGGTCACATCCCTAGTTGGAACTACAGCCCCTTCTTTGACAATCAGCCTCGCTGGGACCCGACAAGAACAGCCAATCCACGACCCTCTCACGTAGTCAAATTGGATCGCCATACCAAATGCCAACCGGACGAGATTCGCTAGAAGCCCTAATTGGTTTAAGTGAAAGAACACAACGATCGAATTGGAAAAATCACAATCGAAGGACCAAACCGAAAATGCATTATATGCAAGTATCACTTGAATGAATCAGCATTCGAGTGCACAATCCCAGAACGGGTACGTGGGGCAGGAGATATGAGGAGGAACACAGCTTGAGCGTCAAGCGAGTCATGTTGAATGGCACCAACAAATGTGTCTTCTTTTCCAATTTCATGCGTACTGACAGTATCATATCATATGATGAATTGGGAGATCTCGCACGCCTAAAAGCCAACTCCTTTTGCACTTTAGCATAACACTTGGCATGTGATCTTGTTTTGGCCATTATCAAGGTCCAATCGATGCGGGATTTTCAGTATGAGTTACGCAACCGTCATTCCCAAGACGGGGAGGGGAGTTTTATTAGATCCCACACTCACGCCCACACACCTACTAGAAGAAAACACTTCGTTTCTCATGATTAATGATATTCCTTCCAAGATTAATTTATATTCTATATGTTAGAGAGTTAATTAAGAATTTCTCTAGAACAATTTTTTATTTCCTTTTTCCAGAAATTACCATCAATTCCTCTAAATTTATTCATCACAATTGTAAAGTTCAATGAAAATCACTCCATGCTGCGGACTTAAAAGTATTAACATAACATCTAGCGCTTATAGTATATTACTACAGATTTCAACTTGTTCTAAAGCCGAAGGAGTAGCTTGAAGATCATATTTCTTTGCTCCGACCACCTTGTCCACGAGGGGTGAGCATGGTTGACCACTTTGTCCACTAGGGGTGAGCATGGTTCCAAGTTCTACCCTGATAACCTGATCAGTGGGAACCTGTAGGTTCCAAGTTCCAAGGTATGCAGGGTAGGTTCTAAGTTCGAAAAATTGGGGAACCTATTTCGATGGGTAGGTTTCAAATTCTAGGTAGGTGGAACTTGGAATCTGAAACCTAAATAAGTTTTTTTGTATTTTTTCTTGGTTTACATCTTCGTGTGATCCTGCTATGTTTCATGGCGTTAGATGATGAGTGTATAATCTGGAACGATTAGTCTAAGCTTTCATTTTATGACTTGTTAATGTTTCATATTTTTTGTGTATCTAAATATAAGTTGTGGTTAGTTGATCATAGCAGTAAGTGGTGGTCATTAAAAGTGATGATTCACTACAATTGTTCAATTAATATACAGGTGGAACCTGAGTAGACTCTAGAACCGACCCTTGAACCTTGATATGGTAGGTTCCAAGTTCCACAAAATAAGGAACCTATTATCATGGAGGAACCTATACGGAACATGGAACTGCTCACCCCTAGTATCGATTCACCCAATAACTTCTCATTTTAGTTATATTTATTTGAACCGCAATGTCAGGAAAACTAATCTTTTGTATTCTCTTTGATGAATAACAAGTTTGTTCGGCATTGTGGCGTTCATTTTCGTTTTGATAAAAAAAAAATCTGTTAGACCCTAGAACCTACCCTGAAACCTATGACAGGGTAGGTTCTAGGTTCCAGCTTCCGACCGGTAGGTTCTAGGTTCTAAAAAATGAGGAACATATACCCGAAGGTAGGTCCCATGTTCCAAGTGGAACCTGTAAGAAACTTGGAACCGCTCACCCCTATTGTCCACAATCTTCCCCATTTCACGAACATGAAGGTCAGCCTCGCCTCCACGACCAATTCTTGAGCAACTAGCTTAGCTCGTGCACATTGACCTTAAGGAAAAGGATGCTGGGGAATTTCTTAGCCAACTGTGCCAAGAAAGGTCCAATAAAGCGACACGGTCTGCACCATGAAGCAATGAAGTCCGCAACCACTAGCTTGCTGGGCTCATTGCCCTTTTGGGATTTGCTCGGTCTAGACCTGTTAAACGGGTTGGTCGGGTCGGGTTTGGGTCGGGTCATAAATGGTCCGACCCAAATTGACCCATTAACTCGTTTATGACTCATTTATTCATAGTGTAAATATCTTGACCCATACTCGACCCGACCCATACCCAACCCATACCTGACCCGACCCATATTACTAAAATACTTTTATATTTAACCTAATCTATGAATACTTGTTTCTTATGATTTTTTTTTAAAATTATACTGCTAAAACATTTTATGCAATACAAAGCTAGTGAAAAAATTTTATAATTTTTTTTAAAATTGAGGTTACATTTTGTTTTACGAAAAATGCGACATTTCTAAAAATATTTTCCATAAAGTCATTATCCAAGAAAATAAAAAAAAATTAATATTTTTTATTTTTTTAAATTGAATTTTTAATTATTTTTTTATTTTTCCTTTATTTTTGGTCGATCGCCGACCGCCGTGGCCGCGACCACCACGAGAGAGGACGAGCTCGCCGGAGGCCGGCGAAGCTCGTTCTCGCCGTCTGGCGAGGCCGAGGCCTCGCCGGCCTCGGCGAGGCTCCGGCCTCGCCGGCCTCGAGCGAGGCTCCGGCCTCGCCGGGATCGGCGAGCCTCGAGGTCGCCGGAATCGGGCGAGCTCGAGGCTCACCGGATCGGCGAGGCTCGAGCCTCGCCCGAGGCCGCGAGCTCGAGCTCACCGGCCTCGGCGAGTCGTCCCGCCCGGTGGCCGGTCGCGTGGCCGACCACCGGCCGGAATAAAAAAAAAAAAAAAAAGAAAGAGAGAAAGAAAAAGAAAAAGAAAAAAAAATAATTAAATTTCGATTTTTTTAAAACATTTTTGTAAAGAGGGAGAGAGTGTGTGGATGGATCTAGTAGGTGGGTTGGACATAGGTTCCAAACTCAACCCATTTAGACCCATTTATCTTTAAGCTTTAAAACTTAAAACCCATTTAAAGTTGACTTTTTAAAATTAAAGTGACCATATATGACCATTTATTTTTAAATGGGTCATATATGGGTTTAAGACCCATTTTGACACCTCTAGTGGATGGGTCAGTGGGTGGATTGGACATGGGTTCCAAACTCAACCCATTTAGACCATTTATCTTTAAGCTTTAAAATTTAAAACCCATTTAAGGTTGACTTCTTTAAAATTAAAGTGACCCATATAGAACCCATTTATTTTTAAATGGGTCATATATGGGTTTAAGACCCATTTTGACACCTCTAGCTCGGTCCAAGGCTCGACGATGTGGCAGCTGATCACCTGTGCCTCATCCGACGCCATTTTCGTTCCCTCTTTCTCTCTGAAAAGCTCAACACGAGCCTCACAAGAGCGAAATCTACTGATTCAAAGATTGTCTAATTTACGCTTGCCTTGCTTCTTTCGATGTGAATATTAATGAAGAACAAACAAGTAGAAGAGAGAGTTGAGGAATTATTGTATATTTCGATATGTATATTGGTTTTATTAGATAACTATTCTAAAATAATATCTCAATTAATATATGCACAATCTATGGGAAATATATGTGTAATATATGTGCAATTTTGAAAGATACGGATAATCAACGTAATATCATAGTTATCTCTAATCTTGCGAGATAGTCACGGAGTGACATGACCTATATGATTAGTGTTTTAGCATCAAGTGGCCTATACGGTTGGCTTAGAAAAATAGTTACTGTGCGATTCGATTTATGTGACCAGTATCGAAAGAAAAGTCACCTCTCGGAAAAAATGTTCGACTTGACGATGCGACCGATGCGGTTGGCATCGAAACATGACCATCGTGGAATGGACTTGACTAAGCACTTCTTCATATGAGACTTGTGCACACGGACTGAATACCATTGAGCGGCAGGGATGGATTTATTTTGCTATAAGGTACACGGGTGCACTGGATGTGATGTGCACCCAGTGCACTAGGGTTGCCTCAAGAAAGAAGGCTCTGATACCAAATTAAGAATAAAGAAGCGAAAGAGAGAATTGAGGAATTTCTGTATATTTCAATATGTATATTAATGATGAATACATCAACATATTTCTAACTTTTATTAGATAGCTATTTTAATATAATATTTCAATCAAAATATGCAAATGACCAGGTACCTTTTTTATATTCGGTCAATTTCATGTTTCTGCCATTCTTGATTACGGAAAAAATTCATTCCAATCGAATTTTTGATTTGTAGATTATAATTATAGATGTAATCCACATTGGGACTATAACAAAACTAACAAGTAGCCCATAATCATAATGCACCAATCAAAAGATTAGTCAAGGACAACCAATTTTATTGATGATAGAAAGGGCAAAGGAGAGAAATTGTAAGATCTTACAAATTCTACTTCCCACTGGGGATAAAAAAATGAAAAAGAAAAGAAAAAGAGGTGGAGGGGGGGCAAAAAAGGAAAATACAGCAAGCAAGTAGGGAACACGCGCGACACAAAAGCGGTGTGGTCAAGGGTCAAGCCAAGGGGGGCGACCAACTGCCAGAGTGGAAGTGTGGGAGAGGAGAGGGGCGTGGAACGCTTACACAAAGCATAAGCTCAGAAACTTTTTCTTCTTCTTCTTCTTCTTCTTCTTCATCATCTCCTCTCTTCCTTCACCTCCTCCTCAGCTCAGCCCACAGCCTTCGTTTATCAGCCTCTCCTGTTGTCTTGTTCTCTCATTCTCTTCACTCCTGTCCCTGTCGTTCTCCGAGGTTGCCTCTTCCTCACAATTCCTGTTGCATTCTCGTGACGCATTCTCTTCCTTTCACCCCTTAAAACCACCCCCCCCCCCCCCCCCAACCACTCTGGAAATCCGCCCCCTCTCTCTCTTTTTCCTTCCAGAAGACACACAACCCAGACAAGAAGAGAGATAAAAAGGGGCACCAGGACGATCCCTTTTCTTGATGTGCATTGTCGGCTGTACGTTGTCTGCATTTTACAAGATTCATTTCTGGGGCGTGCCCTCCACTTTTTTTGTCCCTCGCATCATCTCGTGGCTGCCTCTGCCAAGTCCACTGCTTACCATGTTTCCCTTTTCTTTGGTTCAGTTGAACAAGATGAGAGGATGGTTCTTCCAAAAATGATACCCAAAATCAAGATTGCTGGAGTCCAGTGAGTGCTTTGCCTTGTTTAGGATCGCCATGCCTTCAGCTTCCAACATGAAATTAGGTGAGCGAATATATTTCCTCTTCTTCTCTGTCCTCCATTATCTTATATCCACTTCCAACGACTGAGGTTGGTTAGTTGCGCCTCACCATGTAATCCCAAAACCATCGTGTCCTGACACAGTCTCATTGTTGTTTTTACTTGATTCAGAATAATGCACATTTTATATTTCTCTTTATCAGTGACGACAAGGCAGATTGCATATCTACCTTCCCCTTAAAATAACTTGTAGTAGGTAGCCGGAAAGGAGAAGAAAATGCAGGGCTATCCATACCTTGAATGTTGACAGATTCTGCGTCACACATTCTTCGCCGCTCTATTTTGCTTCACTGGAACATGGAACTCTCTATTTTTCTTGATCCTTTTCTTTTACAATAAAATCTCCTTTCATCAGTAGGACATAATTTTTTTTTTCCTTCCAAGTGACTCTACGACACTTTGTCTATAGTATCTTTCTGAGAACAAGTTGTTCATGAGGCAAATGCAATTTTGGCAAAAGAAAAACAACAAAGGTTGAGTGATGTGGCTTTATTTAAGTTTATATAAGTTATTAGTCTGTCTAAGTTCAGATCTAGCTTGCAGGATTTCTTTCTCACTACTATTTTATCGACAGCTGAAGAAAGTGGTCATTTCTCATCTGAGAAGATCCTAAGACCTCGTTGACCGTATAAATGTACATCAATCTATCAGTTCTCATGAAATGAAGAAAAGTAAAATAGAGTGTCGCAATACTGTTTAGGACCTTATAGACGTCGCCACTAAAGATCTTGCCTCAATTATCAGAAAAATATAAGTTATCTTGAGCACAAGGTTTACAGAATCTCCAGCTCCTTTCTCTTCTATCCCACCCTTCAGCTCTCTCCCATTCCAACTGCCATTTTTCAGGGGAAGAGGAAGTGGGGACCAATTTTGAAGTTTTTTAGAATGGAATTTAACATGGGATTCACTAGTTTTTTTTAAACATGCCATACCCAGAAGTTCTCAAAATTCACAATTCGATGTTATCCAGGTTTCATTCAAAATCATTTTGGCTCATCCCCAGCAAGAAGCTTGGATGGAAGTTTCAGGAAGTCAAACTCCGGTAAATTACTACAGCTTTTTTTTCTTTAATTATGTGTTTTCTGTTCGAATATGACATTAAGCTGGTGCTAGCATGCTACTCCATGCCACTGTTGTTTTAGCTCTTGAACTTGTTATCACATACTTGATAAACAATACCCCATAGCTGCAACATTGTTATGCTCATCCAATTTTCAGAAGATTTAATGGTGCATGAAATCACATAACATGAATGAAGGCAAAACTACCTTAGACGCCATATCCCAAGAGAATAAGGAACATGGGAGAAAGGAAAGAAAGAAGATAGGGAAATTCCCTTTACTTTCTTGTATAGACCTAAACTCCACAGATACTTTTTCTTCCATGAGCGTCCATAGAATCATCATTATGTTCTTATGGATATCAACATTATGGTCCTGGAGCAGTCCTCTAGGGCACAAATTCCATGCTTCAACCTAAAATGGTGCTTTACCAGATGTCATCTTGCCTGGTAGCACAATCAAAATCAGAGAGAATCTGCTATTTGGCAATTCTAGTTAGAGCTCAAAGTTCAAAAGATGAATGTATTGCCATTGTTTATCTAAATATGCATCATAAATTTCTCAATGTGAGGATTTCAATCAAGAGAGGCAATTTACTCATTCACCTCAGTTTTGGGGGTATTCTGTGTCGATAATTTACTCAAGTAAATTACCCTGGCAGCTTAAATTCTTTCAGCATGGCTCTCTGCTTCTTGCAGAAGAACATAAAGGAGGACAATTTTAATCTCCCACATAGTACCTTCTTCAATGTCCTCTTAATAATGTCGTTAGAGCTGTCATGTTCATTTTTGCAAGTTGGAAGCTATTCGTCACTAAAAAATATGCCTATCGAGATACTTCCGTTATATGCCAGAGATCCTGTACTATATTCAAACAAAAATGTTACATGTTTGGTAAGAGAAAGCCGTGAAAAGGGCATTGATAGAGTCAATGCAATAGGAGAGGACATAGTGGAATGATGATGGATGTAGAGGTTAACTTATCTAAACATTGTGGCATATCTTTGTCTCAAGCGCATGAGAGTAGTTCTTACTATAGCCTGCAGGAGAAAATAGCAGCGCACCAGTAATATCCATGCTCACTGCGCTCTGATAGAAGGTCCTAGATATTCTATTATTAATATCTGGTTTTATATGACGGTCCAGTCAGCACGTCCATGTACTGGATTATCTGCGTAGCACAATCCATCCATGTATCTAATAATGAAAATCTTATCCAAAATGCTCTTCTGGGTTATAGAAAAGAAGAAGAAAATCTGCTCTTCTGGATAACCTTTTGTGCATGATGCAGATTTCTCTGCTCACAGCGTATCTGGGGTTTCAGCTTCAAGTAAATCCTTGCCTATGTCCAGAAAAGTATTCAAGGGACTAAAGGATTATAGAAAAGAACTCGTGGACCTGGAATTATTTGTCCAGTGTTTAGAGGATTGGGTTTCGGAGAATTCATTCTCAGACGAGTCAGACCCAATGAATATGGAGCATTCTTTCCCACCTCCCTTTGAGATTGATGAACTGCGAAAGCTGGATTTGGCTTTGGAGGGGGTACTGTTGCAGCAGCTGTGGCGCTTGCCACGTTCACTTTATGCACCGAACTATACAAAGGAGGATGAGTATCTTGCATTAGAGGACTTCCTGCATGCTATTGTGAAAGGTTTATGGCGTACATTTTGGCATAAAAGCCTTCCGTTGCCGTGCTTTGTATCTTGCCCCTTTCGTCCTGGATCCAAGTTCTACACGATAGAAAAGGCAATATCGAGAGGAAAGCTTGAAGAACTCTGTGGTTTAGCTTTGATATCAAGAAGTGAGAGAGATTTACAGGTGCACTGGGATCAAGTGATGGTATTTGTCTTGTATAAGCCGGATATATTAGAAGGTGATGAGTTGAGATTATCTCCAAGAATGATCTGTGAAGCGCTCTTTTATGGATTTCACATTCTTGTTTCGAGGAGTTTGGGTAAATCCAATACTGTGAATGACGATTCTGTTTTTGTCCTGGTTCTTGATTCGAATTATGGAGGAGTGGTGACACTTGGAGGTGACCTCGGCAAACTCGAGTCAACTCCGTCTAATCCATATCAAGCTGCAGCTGAGTGGATCAGGAATCATTCCGAAATTTGCGTGTCCCCTGTTGACAAGATATGGAATAAGCTAGGGAATCCAAATTGGGGAGACTTGGGAACTCTGCAAATGATCATGGCCATTTTCTACTCCTTTGTCCAGTCAAATGGACCACCAAGAAAATCAATAGATTACTTGGCCTCTGGTCATCACCTTCGTGTTCAGAAACGAAGGATGGAGTGTGGTGCCCTTGAGAATGACAGAGCTTTGGTACCTTTCCAACCAGCTAGTAATCAAGGAGAGATTGCCGAAGTAGAGGAGCAAGAGGTTCCGTCTTTAAGAAGGCATGCACTGTGTCTCGAAATAAAGCGAGGTGAGATGTTGCTCCTAGATGATCAGCAACAGGGACCTAGAAGTTTCCAAATACAGGAATCGGTTGTTGGTGGCAATCATTTTCTATATAATGCTGTTTCAGTCGATCATCCAACAGAGTTACTGAGCTTATATGTAGGTGCTCATCCATCCAGACTAGAGCCGTCTTGGGAGGATATGAGTTTGTGGTATCAAGTACAGAGGCAGACAAAGGTGTTAAACACTTTAAAGCTGCAGGGAGTGTCGAGCAAATACTTGCCAGAAATAATTGCATCTGGTCGTATTCTGCATTCGGGTCCATGCGCGAAGCAGAGTCCAGGGGGCCGATGTGACCACCCTTGGTGCGGAACGCCTATACTTGTGACCCGTCCAGTTGGAGAGCCACTTTCCTCCATAGTTGCTCGGAATGGTCCCTTTGCCGCCAAAGAGGCAGTACGGTGCTGTCGAGATTGCCTCACCGCTCTGAGAAGTGCGGCTATGGCCAACATTCAGCATGGTAACATCTCTTCAGAGAATGTCATCCGGGTCACTGATGCCCACGGTTCGGGAGTGAAGTTGAATATTCTCACATCATGGGGACGTGCCGTTCTGGAAGAGAGGGATAGCCCCGGGATAAATTTGCAATTTTCATCATCTTATGCTCTGCAGCATGGAAAGCTCTGTCCATCATCCGATGCTGAGAGCCTTGTTTACCTGCTCTTTTTCATATGTGGAGGAACCATGGACCCACAAGATTCTATTGAATCGGCTCTACAGTGGAGGGAAAGAAGCTGGGCAAGACGTTCAATCCAGACACACCTCGGCGAGGTTTCAGCTCTTCTCAAGGCATTTGCAGATTATGTCGATGGCCTTTGCGGAACACCATACCCTGTCGACTATGATATATGGCTCAAAAGGTTGAGCGCAGCTGTTGATGTCTCGACAGATAGAGGTAAAACAATTGAAGCGGCAATAACATAAGGACTCATAACTACAACCGAGTTTTTTCAGAGCTCTTGCTGTGCATTCTTTATTTATGTAGATGGGGAGTTTTGGGTTTCCGTAACAGCAGTCGGGTGAAATTTGCTGTCAGTATTCTGGAGACGGGTATAGGGGATCTCTGCCATGTGATTCCTTTTTGTACCGGACCAGATGTAAATGCATCTCGGCTGTAATTGAGTTCAATCAGTAGATTCAGTGCTTGATGGAAAGGGAAGGATCTTGCTAATCTTTCAGTAGTGTCTTATATTTACCCTTTAAAGTCGGTCCCAATTAAGCACAGAAGTAACTAGTTTGCAGTCTATGTAGAACCACAGATGCTTTTGTTAAAACCTTCCGACTCTAATGGCCGAGCTAAGGAACGCTTGACCACATCGACAACCATTTGTTCACAATCGCACACATTATTTGAACGCAAGATATGTAAGCACTGAAACTCCTAGGCATGATCTATGTAAGCAATGAAACAGAACAAACCCAGAGTCGATAAAATGTTGCTCAAGTTTGAAGCTGAACCATACTGATTTATTCAGCTTACCTTTTTTAAAGGGCAAGCTTAGCTTTTTACTTCACAAGACAAATGTGGGAAAACTAGACCCGCAAGTCCATAGAACAAAAAGTTGCTCTCATCATGAGAACTAATCAAGTGACTAATGCATGCTCTGTGGTCTCGTGTTTCTTTTTCCTGATGCAACTGCAAACTTGGTTCTTCAACTTATAGCCTGAAGGGACCACTTTTTTCCCAATTGAAGAAGAAAAACATCACAACATCAACCGACTGATGAAATGCTTATGATCAATTTGTATTTCTTCTTTAAGCTCTGCAACATGATCTTATAGTTGGTGTTAAAAGAGTGAAGTATCTGATTTTCATGTGAAATTCATGTGTTGGCCATCTTTATAGCTCAATACATCTTCATGCTCATCAAATGGATTACATCATTTCTGCAGAAGGTATAAAAGGTAATGATGCATGCCCGTAGCGCGTGCTTGGTGTCTAGTACTTATAAAAATCAATAATAATATTAACCAGTAAAGATATGTTAAAGTTTGATAAAATTAGCCATCTTAATAAAACTTAATTAAATATATATAGGGTTGATTAATGTAAAAAAATGATTGCTCAACAAGAATATTTAAAAAATTATAAAGCGAAACAGTAGATTATTTGGAAGCGATCAAATAAAAGTTAGTAACCTACTCATACAAGAGTTGGCAATTTGATAAAATAATTAGTTACTCTAGCTCCAAAAACAGATATCGATAAATAACTGAGATTATTATTATAAAGTTTATCACTTAACCTGTCGGCAAGCTCCGTAAATTATTATCAATGTTGGTACTTTTGAAACAATAAAAATTTATATTAAAATTGACATTGGTTGGTAACGAGAGAAAAGTGGGTAATACGGTATAGAAGTTGGTAATTTTTGACACATGGGTAAGCTCAATAATAAATACTGATAAATAATCAGAACAGCTGATAATTTTAGCAACTTTTTTCAAAACCTGTTTAAACGCAAAGTCACTCGCTGGATAAGAAACTTTTGCTCAGGAACCTGAACGAATACTGGTAGGTTCCCAACGGCTCATACGACCACCCTTTTCCCAATCAACAGTGGACATGTTGTCCAAATGAACCTTTGTCAAAGATTACAGACCCTAGTTTCGATCGTTACCCAAGAAACTGACATCATCTTTAGCTGTTCCGAAGCTGTAGAAAAGTCCAGTCTGAGCGAGAAATAAGTCGAAATGGAAGAAGAGAGTGAGATCGAGAGAGAGAGAGTGGAAAACGGAAGCATGAAACGCATTACAACCTTGAATCAGGAAATTACAAAAAGTGATGGAAGAGAGAGCACAGTGAATGGTGAAAAAGCACATCAAGTCCCTAGAAAGCTGAGAAACTAACGAGCCCAGAACCTTCAAATTTATTTTATTTGGCTCACTTGCTCACTCACTACAACGCGAACACACACCAGCCTAAGCTAGTCATCGCGTCCTTATTCTGTAGCATGCACGCACGTTGGCCGTCAACAGAGCTTGGTGCAGAAGCAGCGGCGTCGAAAGCCACGGCAAGTGCCTCCGGAGAAGCCCTCATTGCGGCAGACTAGGGCGCAGTTGTGGCTGCTGACGCAAGACCCTTTGAAGCCGTGGCTCTGGGACTCGCACATCCTCCCCTCCGCCTCCTCTGCGCGCACACACGCACATGTAGAGTCATATAGATGTCACATTAGGAACTAAAGAGTAGGGGTGATGGGGGCTTACGGGCGGCGAGGACGAGGAGCAGCATCAGGAAAAGCCCCATGCATCTCATCTTGCTCTTCTCCATCTCTTTCTCCTTCTCTTTCTACTTCTCTGCAAAACTAGCAATGGAGGGCTTTGAGGTGGTGATATATTTATGTAAGAAAGGGGGAGCTAGCCCAGGTGTTGTGGTCCTTGTTGTAGAGACAATTAACAAAAGGACATCGACAAGTGTCAGAGGAGTCAGATACATTCACATGCCAAGTTCAGAGGCGCATGCTCTGCTCTCTTGCCCACATCTCATAGGGCGATAGTACAGTCTTTTCTCCCCATGTGACTACAGGACAAGGCCATTTGATTCCCATGCCTAACGATGCACCGACGCTTTACTCTCCACGCACCGCATGCAATCATCAACCCCTTCCTGATTTCAATCTGGACCCTTCGTTGCATTCCTCCATGCACAGGACAAAACTTGGCATCGGGGACTGTGTGTGTGCAATATGACGCTCTGCTCTCCACGCACCGCATGCAATCATCAACCCCTTCCTGATTTCAATCTGGACCCTTCGTTGCAATCCTCCATGCACAGGACAAAACTTGCCATCGGGGACTGTGTGTCTGCAATACTTTGTTGTAGGAAGGCACAGCCGACTGGACACAGCCTTGAATCAGTTGAGAGAAAGAAGCGACGTTAAGGAGACCTTTGATGGGCCTAAAGGACCCAAAACATCAAGGATGACAAAGTTATCTTAGCAAAGGCATCGGGTTCTTGCACTTTCACGGGCCTACAAGGCCCAAAACCTTTTGGATCTTTTGGACATTTTTACCTAAAGCAGGATGGATTGCTGAGCCAGCCATTTTCTGCATGATAATTCACAACGACGGCGAGCTAAATCTGACGCCAACAGCCCTCATCCGAGGTCATGCAACCCCCAGCGAGGGTCACACGACCCCAGCAACAAGGCTTGAGGTTGAGCGACCTAAGTGGCCGGCACCCAGGGTCACGTGACCTAGGTGGCCTTGACGGGGTGGCGCGAACCCAACAACGAGGCCCGAGGTCGCGCGACCCCGGTGAGGGCCGCCTAGGCAATCACACGACTTCTCACCGGCCCGATCTAGCCTCGTCGGCCGTTCTCGTGCAAAGAAGATGAATAGTCACAACTAGGGTTAAAACCGAAAAATTAGAAAATTGGTGAGGGTAGTTTGGGAAGAAAAAAGTAGTTTCAACATTCAGTCAAATACCAAAAGCCCAATACCGATCCCTATCAGGACCGGGCTTTCGTCTTTCCCAATGCTAGCATTTGGCCGAAAGTCCATTGGGAAGGCTTAGCAAACACCCCAATATTTGCCCAAGGGGATTTAAAGGACGAAAGCCCTTGGAAAAGTTTAATCAAACCCACCCTTTATGAGTCAATGTATGCAAACAAGATTGCTGATGAATTGTAAGGAACGAGATGCTTCACCCCTTCTGCTTTGAAAAGCACAGCCAAATTACATCCGTGTCTGAACCCATATTGAATGGCTTCCACGAGAATGGCCGCTTGAAAATGTCCGAGAGTCCTACCATAATCTGGTTCCGCATTTCTTGAGGAAGGCAATTCCATGTGATTCAAATTCATCGCCCCGAGCAAGAAATGCGCAGCAATTGAAATCGGGATCCAATTCCCAATTGAACTGAACAAGAGGCGGGAATAGGATCCCATTCTCAAACTTGAGTAAGTATCTCGAACTTGAGTTTCTTTATGGGAAGAAAGGAACTCATTTCAGCCCGGGCAAACCCGATTGAAAAAGGGTCCTCATTGCAGACCCCATCGAAGCATTCGAGAAGGAAACTCCAGCGCAAGCCTCGTACGAGCAAAGTCTCGACTTCACATTCGGAAACAAGTGATGAAACGAACATTCATTCGAGCATTCGAAGTTTTTGGGTCGTGTCATCATAAAGATGTGGTCGTTGTCGTCGTGTCTGATGACGATGTTTCACGCCTTCGATTAAAAATGACTCAGATTCCACGGACTCAGAGGAGACGAAAGTTGTCTACTCTTCACAGCGAGAACAGAACAGAGAAGACAAATGGAAAAAGGAAAAGAAAAGACATTTAACTGTTGGAACATACGATGATATCCAAAACCGACGAGGGATGGGAGTCCCACCTCTGGACATGTGATGGCCAGTGGCCGCCCCATCCACCCCTCCACGTGAATCTTTGCGAATTGCGATGCCTTTCCTCCTCCTCCTCTTCTTCCCTCCTCCTTATTATAATGAAATGATTCTTGTTATGCATGCACTGCACGTTTGGTTGCGATGCAGTTGTTCAACATGTTACTGAAGGAAGAGGAAAGACAAATCAGTCTTAATTCCACGCATCATAAGAGAAGTTGAAGCATCATTTGAAAGTTATAATTCCTTCCTTGATTTGATTGTTTAATAACGATGAACCTGTTAAAGTGCACGTGTGAGTTGTATTAAAAAAGTCTCACATCGGATAAGTGGTGTGGTGTAGAGCGGTTAATATATCTAAGTTGGCTCATAACTCATTGGCTTAAACTTTTGAGTGAAGATGGGTCCAATTGAATATGTTGACAGGCTCGAACTTGAGTTCTCTCTTGGCCATCTCTCCGAATGAAGCTATTGGGTTTCTGTTGCATGCTCTCAACAAATGATATCAGAGCCGATAGTTGATTTATAGGCCTCCAATCTGTTCCGATGTTTGATGAATATCTCAAGAAAGAAATCTCATGGTCAAATTTTCTTCGGGCATTGATAGCGATTGATCGAATTGCTACTCTGGTTTGAGAAGCTTTTAAGTTTTCCTTATCTCTCATGCCTTTCTTTGAACTGCCATGAAAAGAATTCGAAATATGGCAAGATAAGAGACCATGGGTGATGCAATCTCAAGTTAGCAGTTGATGATGGAGATTCAAGTTGAGATATGTTGGTGCAGAAGGATATCTGAATCTGGTGACACAAGATAAGAGACCATGGGCGACGCAATCCCAAGTTATCAGTTGATGATGGAGATTCAAGTTGAGATATGTTGGTACAGAAGAATATCTAAATTGAGAGGGAGCAGACGTAATACGGATTCAAGTTGAGATATGTTGGTGCAGAAAGATATCTGAATTGAGGGGGAGCAGACCTAATACGAAGCTCACATGTGAGGGGGAGATTGTTGAAGTGCACGGGTGAGTTGTGTTAGAAAAGTCCTACATCGGATAAGTGGTATGATGTAGAGCAGTTAATATATCCAAGTTAGCCTTTAACTTATTGGTTTAAGCTTTTGAGTGAATGTTAGTTCAATTGGATATGTTGACGGGTTCAGACTTGGGCTCTCTCTTGGCCATCTCCCCGGATGAGGTATCACGCTTCTACTGCGTGCTCCCAATAGAACCCAAGGGATCTAACTTCAACCTTTGAATATCTTCTTCCCTGGAACCAACTTGGATCCCACAGCAAAGTCTCCTAGGGGTCTCCTAGATTGAACTCTCTGATGCTCAAGTTAGACCGTCTTGAAGAAGAATATTATACTGGAATTCGACTGTGTCAGGAGTCGTATTAGCGACGCATATGAGTATTTGTGTGACCGATTGTCACGCTGGCCAACACTTGCATGACTAAACTCCCTATTTAGAAGCTGTAAATGAGTCAAATGGTAATTTTTGCTTGTCGTGCGGAGTCCATCTTCTTACTTAACAAGCCGCGGCTACTGTTGGAGTCCTCCCCTACTTCGTCTAATCGATAAGGTCCGCCGAGGTGAATTGAGTTCTCCTAAGCATTTTAAACGGCCACATAGCATATAGCTAGAATTTGGGTATATTAATTAAGGGTGCGTTTGTTTCACTAAAAGCTTCATGATAAAGGAACTTTCATGCAAATCATTTTCAAGAAAAATGCTTAGTTTTATTTGCTTGGTTGTTTAGGAAAAGTGATTTACTTTTTACCAGAAGGGGAAATTATTTTTCCTCAATCTAAACTTGTTGTTTTCAGTCCATGAAAAACGTTTTCCTTAGATCAATTAGATTTCCGTCATCTAAATACTGAAAAGTCATAAAAGAATTTCCTAGAAGCAGTCTTCCTTCAAACAACCGAACCCTAGGCATTAGGAGATTCTCAGTTGAATGACACGCGTTAACACTCAACAACTCTATTTTGGAAATGTAAAATATCCTATTTTGATTGCAATATAGGTAGTCTTCGTATAATGTGTACGTTTTCAACTTTGAAAGTCCTCTCAGACAAGCGAAGTGGGTAGTTATAGGTTTCCTTAAAAAAACTGTCTATCCTAGTCCCTTCGACCAACTTCTTTTTCTTTCGATAGTCAAGAAGATGTTGGCCTTATACAACCCAAGTGCCAATAGGCGCAAGCTCAAACCTAACTCATACTAAGCCAGTGTCCCACAAAACAGGCCAATCGCCCCATTATCCAAACCTAAAACTAAATCCAGTATTTGACGAATGAGCACTCTCGTCTGCCCAAATTCTTGCTTTCAGAGCATTAGTGAAGCACGACCAGCACAACCCCCATTCACCAGAGGAACTGCACAATGGTTTTAACCTCCTGATTGAACCCATTACTTTACGGTAGATTTGAAACCTTCAAATGCAACCTTAACAGCAGCAGTGACCCTGTGAGCTTGAGGAGCGATTTCATCATGCGACACCATACTCCTATCCTTCCAAAGGTAACAAAGTGTACCATGACTTCTTCTTGTTCCTTCTTTTCCCACTGCTTGCGTACCGAAAGGAGCCTTAACGTTGGAAAGAAACAGCCTCAAACGAGCGTTTGCATTTGTAATTCCATAGTTACCAAACTTTCATCACATGTTTTGCCACTGATTAAGAAGGTAAAGAAAAAGCATTCAAATTTAGACTGCATACCGGCTGATCATTGCATGAGATGCATGCGTGATACGATCACAACATAAGCCGACAATCATCCCCATATTGGCGGCCGTGATAAGGTTACTTTCAACACATGCGAGTTCACTGGGTGTTAAACTAATCGTAGTTGTGACACGTTAAATTAAAACAAGAGGTTCATGCACGTATAACTGTCAACGAGTACATTTTTCTACACATAGCTAGTGTTAGAATATTTAAATACCAAATAACACCTTCATCAAACAATTCAATGATTTAGAATAGTCAGTAATGGTCCCACAATTTTTTTAGGTAGTATACTGTATAATTAGCTTATCAATGACTAATCTCGTGATTCAGGTAAAAATACAAGTAGAAATTCGGCTCAGCAACTAAAACACGAAACTATTTAGTATTGGTCGAAGAACTGGACCCATATATGGTGTGCAATCAATCAATCATTCAATCAAATCATCAATTCATATAGATATAATATATATTCCATTCCTCGGCATTTAACAAATATCATAAGCTGTGTTCCACAGGGCTCTTTCTTCTTCTTCCTTTTTTTAACGACATGCAAGCTCCTCGTTCGTTTAAGTTCTCAAGGCACGGCACATGCATGGACGCCGACAAAAGCTTGGAGCCAAAGGTGAAAAAAGTCTAAACAATATGGTGGGGGGTGCGTTGTGAAGTGGCCCCCTGGCCCAACGCCGTTCTGTGAGATCCAAATCCTATTTAAGTCTGGCTCATACCCACACCACAGTTGTTCAGACGTATTTTTAGTATTTCTTGCTCATACCGTTTATGCATCTCTGAAAGATAATAATTCATGTCGACTCATAAATACAGTGCATCCCTTGAAATTGCAGTAACAGCAAGGTCTGTTACATGAAACATCCACTTCCCCTTGAGTACTCCTTCTCTGGCTTATGGAAAGCTAGTGGGAGAGAGAGAGAGAGAGAGAGATGGAGAGGGTTGACCACAGATTGGCGATGATGGGATCTCCTCAAAAGACTTCCTTTTTACCCGTTCTTATTATAACCATGACTCGCCTCTTTCTCCAGTTCTAAGCCGACCCTCTCCACGTGCAGGTTTCTTCATCACTTCACTTCAGCTCTCTTCCTCACGCGTATATCGTTCCTTTTGTTTTGTATAAAAAAGAGAGAACGGAAGGTTCTTCATATTCCCAATCCCATCTTCTTCCTCTGCCGTGGATGAGATTCGAACCGATTCCACTTCTTTTCTTTCAAGTCATCTGAGCTCCCTGTTAATCTGAGGTGCCGCTTTTCATGGCGGATTGATTGTTGAATCACATCTGTCGCGTTACTCCTCCTCGCTATATTCTTTTACACGTACATATTGAGTCGTTTCGCTTACAAGTCCGCAACAGATTCATTATTGGAGCAGCAAGCTTGTAATTAGGAGAGACAGAGAGAGAAGAGGGAGGGAGCAGAGGAGATGGAGAAGTATGAAGTGGTGAAGCATTTAGGAGCGGGCAACTTCGGAGTGGCGAGGCTTATGCGCCACAAGGACACTCAAGAGCTCGTTGCCATGAAGTACATCGAGCGTGGTCACAAGGTCCTGTTGTTACGGCTTTCGATTTCTCCATTCAATGCCTTACTCCCGTACTCACCTCGTTTAATCGTTCACGATGAGTCTAAATTTTGATTTGCCGCTAGTTACGAAAGACTTGAGAAGACTATGCCTATGCATTATTGCAGATGGATGAGAATGTCGCCAGAGAGATCATCAACCACAGATCGCTTCGCCACCCTAACATTATACGCTTTAAGGAGGCAAGCAGACTTGCCTTACCTATCCTAATTCCAAGTTCCTCGCTCGGAGTTTCTTTGTTGCGTGACATCATGTAAATGATGCGGCAGGTTGTGTTGACACGGACTCATTTGGCGATAGTGATGGAGTATGCGGCTGGGGGAGAGCTCTTTGATCGCATCTGCAGTGCTGGTCGATTCAGTGAAGACGAGGTCCTTTTCTAAGACTCTCAACTCCAACTCCAATCCCAGCCAGACCCATCTCTGGGTGAGCGTGTGTATGCGTGTGTTAAATAATCTTGTGTTTGATTTTATTATGCAGGCTAGATACTTCTTTCAGCAGCTCATCTCTGGAGTTAATTACTGTCACCACATGGTAAACGATCTCACATGACCAAGTTCTTGTTAGAAAGCCTGCAGTTCGCCATCGATCAATCTCTATTGGACACCTTCATGTGTGTAGCTGACGTTTTACTCTCGTAATTGTAATGCAGCAAATATGTCATAGGGATCTAAAGCTGGAAAATACGCTATTAGATGGAAGCCCTGCTCCGCGCTTGAAGATCTGTGACTTTGGTTACTCTAAGGTTCCTTGCAAAACTTTGGATCTCGTATCAACTTTTTTCTTTCATTTAAATGCATCATGCACTGATTCCCACTCTGTAAAATGCTTTTGTTAGTCATCACTGTTGCATTCAAGACCCAAATCCACAGTAGGAACTCCAGCATACATTGCACCTGAAGTCCTTTCTCGCAGGGAGTATGACGGCAAGGTAATTCAATTTCTCTCGTGGAAGGAGTTCTGTTTCTTTTTCACCCGGAACTTGTTATAAAGAAGCTATCCAACTCTGGTGGGTTGAATTTTAATCTCAGTACTGGTTCTGTATGTGCAGTTGGCAGATGTGTGGTCATGTGGAGTGACTTTATATGTCATGCTGGTGGGTGCATATCCTTTTGAGGACCAGCAGGACCCCAAAAATTTCAGGAAGACAATTCAAGTACACGTTCTTTCTTTTTTCCTTCAAATTCTGCCTATCGCATAACTTCTCTCCCCTAAACGTTTATGAACCTCCTTTTCTTTTCATTCTCCTACAGCGAATCATGGCTGTGCAATACAAGATTCCCGATTACGTGCACGTCTCTCAAGATTGCAAACACCTGCTGTCTCAAATATTTGTTGCAAATCCAACAAGGGTAAGTATTGATGGAAGTGGTGACTCTGGTTTTCTCCAGTTCAAGTTTCATTGAAGTAATTGCAATTGCAAGAGACATGTATGTTTTGCAATTTACATGTCTGGCCTATGATTATAGGATCCTGATTATTCTTGTTGCTATTCTTAACCTGGTATGCAAAGTTCTACAAACTCTCAAGCATCTTCTGCTGTTCGTATCTAGCAATCGTCACAGAAAAGCAATTCATATTCGTACATTAAGCTATCATGCTTTCCGAGATGTCCAAGGGTCAAATGCTGGAGAAAAGAAACAAATTTAAAGATATGAAATTTCCACATCCTCTTGCATCTCACCTTATTGAATGACCTAATTTTTTCTGTAATGGGCTCCTGAAGTTCAACCAGTCATCGTGGCTCCATTCGGAATGGACTGCCTGAGTTTTACTTCTCTTTTTTCTTTTTCAATTTGCAGAGGACTACAATCAAAGAAATCAAGAATCATCCATGGTTCTTAAAGAACTTGCCAAGAGAACTAACGGAAACAGCTCAAGCAGCATATTACCAGAGAGACAACCAGAGCTATTCTCTGCAAAGCGTGGAGGAAATAATGAAAATAGTGGGAGAGGCAAGAAACCCACCTCCAATGGCCAAGCCCACCAAAGATTTTGGCTGGGGTGCCGATGAAGATGAGGAAGGCAATGAAGACCTGGACGCAGAGGTTGATGACGAAGAAGAAGATGAAGATGAATATGACAAAAGGGTTAAAGAGGTTCATGCTAGTGGGGAGTTTCAGATCAGTTGAGCAGCAGTCAGCACTGACGTGGAAACCCAAATACATCTGCATATCAGAATCCTCACTTCTCAAACTTCTCAATGAATAATTTTCCGAGATTTTACCAATTGGCACTAAAAAGAGAGGAGAAAACTGTGTACCACTCTTTAATCTCCTCATTAATAATATCACTAGTCAAGCTTCCTCCAAGGTAGCATCCTTTGCACAGATCATGTGTACTGTCCTACCTCCTCGCCCTCCATTTTATTAGTGGTGGCGGCACCAGTTAATTTGGGTAACTCAACAACCAAAGGTAATAATGCAAACATCCTTCATCATACCAAAGCTCTATCCCAGAAGCTTTTGATAGAAGAGCTCTAAGCAAAACTTTTTTTCTATGGCTGTTTGTATAGCCTGCTAGTCAGAACAAGTAAACGATAGTAGCAGTTGTACAAACAAGCAACATTGACCCGCCCACATTAATTGGAGTATTCACGACAGTCCAATGACTCGTCTATTAATACACTTTACATGCCACATCTTTCCGATCCCCCTAAATAAAATTAGGATGCAAGTAGTCTGTCTATTCTTACTCCAGATGTCTTGCGCAGATAGTTAGGTAAGTGCTGATACAGTCTGCATTACTTTACAACTTATGAAAAAGGAAAATGCTTCACTGAAAGATCAGTGAATTGCATCAAAAATGTTATGGCCATGTATTTACTCACATTCGAACCTCACCAAGGACATGATATACATTTACTTCAACTGCAGGACAATGGCACCAACTATCATGCATGGGGTTCCATGTTGGAGGTGAAATCATCACCAACATTGGAGAGAGAGAGAGAGAGGGAGAGGAGGTGAAGGAGAGCGAGGGCATTTTTCTTAGTGAAACAATGGCAATACACCCCACTGATGCAAAAATCCCTCCCCAGTAGTGACTTCTAAAACCAATAATACCAGCACTGCTAGCATAGCCGCTCTTCCATTCCAAGTTTCCGCACTTTTTGTCCAGCCCCATTCCCAAACCGTCACAGGAGGTGGAAGCTCTCTCCGTTGAGAATCATACACTGCCAATAGCTCTTCTACGCTACCCAGTGGCACCAAAGACTGCAGAGAACAAGTACAACTGGATTAAACAGCATAATGAATTATCATTGTAGTTTGTAAACCTCGTGATCTTATTGACAGGAAACCTTAGCTACATTCAACCCATAGATCCCAAGGAAGAAAAGGCCTCCTATATGAGGTACCCAGTATGGTGACAAAATGCCTCATTCTGCATTCGTAAATACCACCGCAAAAAGGGAGCAAGGTTGCCATGTTGGCTCTAGGATTAATTACACTTTTAATTCTATAGTGTGAATCCCACAAAAGTATTTAAAGACTAGGAAGAGAAAACTGGTACCTGTCGAGCTTCAAGATTTGACACTGCCATGGCACCAACATAAGGGAGACTCTCAATCACTGCATCTGCCAGGTCTGAAATGAACGTTTGTTCACATCCTAGAGCAGGGACACGGCCCCATTTCTCGATGCCGGATTTAAGAGCCAACTCTTTATACTCTACATCGATTTCTTCGAGAGTTTCAATGTGCTCGCTCACAAAACTGTGGATCCAGCTCCAAATTCGTCAAAGGATGAACCGTTGACTTCAAAGTATCAAAGCATGCAATTTATGAGAGCATTGTCTACCTTATCGGGACAGCCAAAAGGCTCTTCACACCCTCTTGTCCAAGATTGATAATTGTCTCATCTGTATATGGTTTCAGCCATTCCACCGGGCCAACTCTACTCTGCAATGACAATCGTATCAAGATCAAGTCATGACGTCGGAAATAATGAAAATTAATAAATGCAACTCATTGTAGGTAATTGAAGTGTTTTAACAATTGTCCTAGTAAGAGCACCGTGGCCGGTCACAGTTCTACAGGCCAACTCCCTGACCACCACCATCAATGAACAAAGTTATTAGGTGAATAGACGGCACATTTTTCATTTCTAAAACTTTTAGACCGTCTCCCAACATGAAAATTGAGGTTTTTTTTTTGTCAAAGAAAAGTGAGGTTAAATAGAGCAATCTCACTAAATTAAACCTAAAATTCATTCATGAAATAAATTATTATACTACTACAATTCTAGCTCTTTGCTCTAGCAATATAAGTGATCTTTATATGTACAAGATGATCCATGTGTTGTGAAAGCTTGTTGTGAATGTTAAAAATTTAGGTGATGAGGTAAGGTGAGATTAATCGCAAAACTTGTATCAAGGAGAGAAATATGAAGCTAAGAACTTTCATACAAATTGGTCAAGAACAAGTATACATAATATGATTTGGTGAAGGAAAAAGATCAAATGAAGTAGAAACTTTAAAAGAGCAAGAAATTCCCATCTCTTGGTTCATGATTTTGTCTTTCTGAAATAACAAGTCGTGAAGGCATAAACAACAAATATACGATATATAAATACATCACTTTCCAGTTCCGAAAAATCAGTGAAATGTTATTGTCATGATGAAAGCCAGACCCAGAAGTTAGTGACGTAAATTAGTAAGGTCAGACCGACCTGATAAGCAAGAGTGTAGGGATTAGTTATTCTCCGTTTTTCTAGCTCTTCCATTATCAAGTCCACACATTCCTCCATCTCTGCCTTATATGGATCACCAGCCTCCTCTACATATGCAAGTGGCACCCCATGTGCACTGAAAAATATCACAACCTATTGCATAGACACCCAATCAAAATAGGGGAAAAAGAAGAATAGTGCAGGCAGCAAAAGTCATATTGAAAGAGAATTTAAAAAAGAGAAAATATTCTCGCCCAATCTACAGCTCCTCTACTAATAGATTATTAGTATGCAATACTCTATTATGCACATTATTAAAAGGTTCCAAGTGTAGGAAGAAGGTTAATATAACAAGAACCACAAAAACCATTAGGACAGACAAGCATTGAGATAATACAATTAATCCAGATCCTCTGGGGATTCTTTTTACACTTATGAAAGGCCAACCATTAGGCTGAAAGGATACAGACAACCATTAGGCTGAAAGGCCAGTCGCTAACACCTTTATCCCAAATGATTATGATTAAAGAAGGCTAAGCACCTAGAAACTAGGGAAAATTTCAAAAAGGGACTTGAAGTGCTCTTCTTTTCTAAAAAAAGGACCCGAAGTAGAGTTTGTCTCAAATAAGGATCCGAAGTAATCATTTAGTCTCAAATAAGGACCTGACTTTCCGACCGGCGAACTGATGCGTATTCCGGCAACTTAGGCAGGGGTATTTTCGTCCAAAAGTATTAAAATTTTTTTTTCACTCTTCTTCCCTGTTCATCTTCTTCTTCGTTTGACCCAAGAGGGAGGTGAGCTCAAGAACAGCCGAAGATGCCGTCAATCTGGGAGCGATGGTGGGAGGGCTGGCCAAGGTCGCCCTCGCCGGCCACCGTTGAGGGACGGCCTCTTTTGGGCGAGCTGGCGAGGGACGGACTCGCCAGCGGCCGGCGAGGGACGGACTCGCCAGCGGCCGGCGAGGGACGGACTCGCCAGCGGCCGGCGAGGTCGACCTTCACCAGATCTCGGCGAGGGTCGCCTCGCCAGCGGCCAGCGAGGGATGGCCTCACAGCCATCGGCGAGGACGGCCCTCGCCGCAAGGGCGGTGATTCGAAAGAAGAAGGCAGAGAGAAAAGAGTAAGGAGGAGAAGAGGAGGCGGAGGAACCCATCAAACCCACCACCCAAAACCGAAGCCAAAAGGCCGCGAGCATCACTGATGACGACAGCCCCCCGCGGGAGGATCCCTCGATCGCTGCGATCCGCAGATCGATCTGAGCGCCCTGCGATCTCCGCACCGCATCGTGCATGACGCGCGCCCAACCTCCTTCTCCCCCCCGCGGACATTCCCTCGCTTGTGCTTGCACAGAGAGAGAGAGAGAGAGAGAGAGAGACAGAGTATGGTGGTGGTGGTGGTGGTTGTCGTGGGACGAGGAGGGAGAGGAGATTGACGGCATCCCTGGAGCTCACCTCCCTCTTGGTTGTGGTGGGATGAGGAGTCAAACGAAGAAGATGAACAGGGAAGAAGAGTGAAAACAAATAAATAAAATGCTTTTGGACGAAAATACCCCTGATTAGGCTGCCGGAATACGCACAAGTCAGGTCCTTATTTGAGACTGAATCACTACTTTGGGTCCTCATTTGAGACTAAATGATTACTTCGGGTCCTCTTTTGAGACAAGCTCCACTTCGGGTCCTCTTTTGAAAAAAGGAGAGCACTTTGGGTCCCTTTTTGAAATTTTCCCTAGAAACTATGCCGTGCTACAAGTCCCCACCTAGACAGAAAATCAGTATAAGACCTTATGCTAAGAGTGCATTGAGACTTAGAAATTATAAAATATAGTTTGACGTGCATCATTATGTATAGGCAATAAGAAAGACTAATTGACCGACTCAAACTAAAGTTGATATGCACTAGGAAACAAATCCCCATTAAACATAAATTATCGTGAAAACACATTTATACCTTCTCAGGATTGTCAAATGTTTGTAACTCTTTTTCAATTAGATCTGCCATAGCTTTTATATATCCTTCACGTTGATACCAAGACGGAATAACAGTGTGTTGCATGTTAACTAGGTATTCATCTTCCCTGATATCAATAAATTTCTTTTGTCAGTATACGGCAATGCTTGTCCACTTCACTGAAAATGTCACGGCATCATCACCTGAATATACTCTCTAAGAGTCGAAGACTTGAACCACTAGTTGATATTGAAAACTGTGGGTAAAGTGGAAGAACAACAAGCTTGGCAATTCCATCTTTCTTTATCTGAAGAAAGGATACATATAAAAGTAAATAATGAGCAGAAGGACTACATATATTTTTTTTTTTGGTAAGGAAAGGACTACATATATTTTTTCACTGCAAATATGGAAAAAAACGAACATATTTCCTCTCAAAACAAAAGGCTGTGATGAGAAGTTAAACAAAGGTAACTGAAACAGAACCTTTGCTCAATTCAGAAAAAACTTCCCACAGTTAGAAAAACAATTGGCAATCAACATGCATCAACCAACAGTTAACAGTTAGAAAACAATTTGGCAATCAACATGCATCAACCAACAGTTAAGAAGTAAAGTGCCAACATCATGATTTTAAAAGTAGCAGAAGAATTTGTGACATTTTTCAACCCCATATGCAAGTTAAGATATTCTGCAGCCAGTACATCCTCAGCAGATTTAAATGGAAAAGCGATTTGTAGAGTTAATCTAATTTGTTAATAAGTTAGCCTATCTACCTAAAGAATAGAAGCTTTAAAAGCACAGGTGTTCATATACAGCCCAAGCTCTGATCCTGCACTATGACGAGGCTAAAGAACTCGCTTAACCACTTGGGATTGTTGCATCAGACAACCACATCAGCTCAAGGAAAATGCACTAAGAGGATGACGCCAGTAGCACACAGGACAGTTTACTAGAAAATCAATTCATACCCTCCACTGAAGTAAATCGAAGAATGCGGAGACAGCAAACACCTATCCTCTGAAATATTTAATGTTACCTATCCCTCTGCAAAGAAGGACAAGACTCCCTTATAATTTACAGATGACCAGCTAAATCATGATAACACAGCGAAGTCCAGGACAAACTCCTCCAAAGATAAGCCAAGTGATGTAGCAGGTAATGCCCGTCTGATATAGTTTATTATAAAGAAACAAAAGGATCATCAAGGCTTAAAGAAAATGGCGATTGATACACGAGTGCACTGTGAAGGCACATGCTTGAGTGTGTGTGTGTATGTGTGTGTGTGTGTGTGAGAGAGAGAGAGAGAGAACACGCTTTTGCATGTGCCTTCTTAGGCATGGATGGATGTCTGTTCCAAAAGGCAGCGCTAACAAGGGCACAATTTTAACTTCTAAATTTGTGCCCAAGATGACCATTCTACCAATACAAGTTTCAAGATAAAAAGTTACCTGCTCAATGGCTTCTTCAGTGAATGGGTGCCAGTATCTCATGCCAACATACACCTTGGCTGGAACATTTTTTGCCCAAAGTGATTTCCTTAACTCTTCTGCCTGAACAACGGATGGCATTTCTTGAATGGTGAGAAACCCCAATATGAAGAAATGTAAGAACTTTTTTGTTTATTTTTACTGAACATTTAGATTCAACTTTCTTCCTTTTCCATTTTTATTAGAATCCATCTTTGCAACAACTTGAGCATCACCATTAACAGCATCAGAGTACTGAAAGTGAGCTTAGAGTTGTTTCTTTTAAAGTACCATATTATTTGCATTTTACTAATTCGTTCTCCTTTATCTGCACATGCATTCTCACTGCATCCCCTCCCACCCCCTCCAAAAAAAATAAAAACACCCCACACACACCAAAAAACACAGATTTCACAAACTTGTAAGGATGTATGATAGATTAATCTCACAACGTCAAAGTTTCAAATCATGCCTGGGCATCAGTTATCTTCCGAAGAGGAGAACCACCACCTATAGATGCATAGCCTTCTTTGCTCTTGGGTGCCCGAAGAACAGATATAAATTGTGCCAACGGCTTTTGAAGAAAGCGAAACAACCTTGGCAGCCGAATGATGTCCTGACAATAGCATGAAGTTAGATAAGTGGAATAAAGTCAACAAGATACTTACAGGGAAAGAACAACGGAGCTATACTGACACCCAGCTCTACACATTAAAACACAATACGTGAAGTTATGGTGCACCTTCATGGCTAACCGCATTCATAAGCAGACATGGACAAAGCCATTGACATAGTACAGCAACAAAAGAGAAAGCTCCTCTAAGAACACTACCCGATACTTTCATGCCTACACCTACAAAAAATCTTGTGAAACTCTTCTCGTAAAAAGGGGAAGATAAAAAACTGAGAAATTCAGCTAAACAATCATAGACAAGATTATCACTATCACCAAATTTTCACTGATCAGCATGTGATTGAAGCAGAAGCAGCAATAAACACGAAAATGTCAATAGATGCTAAAATTGTGCCCGAAAGCTAGCTAAAAAAATGGTATGCCTGAACAAATGCTGATCTTGTGTCCATAGCTTAATCAAGAAGTTGTTTTGTAAAACCACTTCAAGCTAAATGTTTAATGATTTAAATTTCGAACATCCAAACCATTCTTTTCGATTTTGCCATAACTTATGCTTTCAAAGCTTCTGTGGGATAGAACAAAATGGTAGAAAAAAGGTAGGAAACAGCACTTTTTTTACTTTTGTTTCCTTGGAAATCAGATGCTGGAATGTACAAAGTGCCATAAGGCCAGCCACTAATAGGAAGCTTCAAGTTAAGTGAAGCAACAGTATAATTCGAGATTATAGAGAAAATAAGGATGTAGAAAAGTGAGAACTTTGGTCATGGACGAAGCAGATCTGTGTGTGCGTGTGTCCGTGTGGCTATCCTCACTGGTAAGGCTGGTCCTCCTAAAGGCACAAGTTTCAGAAAAAGAATAAACCGAAGAAAAGAATCTCCTCATTGCATAACACTACACTAATAAAAACGGCCAAGCAGTTGACTTTATGTCTATATGTCCAGAGACTAAACAATTCATAAAAACGGCCAAGCAAACGGAATCACATATATGACTACGTATCAGCTGCAATAGTAACACACTTCATGTCGAAGAGAGAGAGAGAGAGAGAGAGAGTAACTGGATCAGCGAAGAGGTTGAACAAGAAAGGCTGCACATCGTCAAGGGTTTCAGGACCTCCAAGGTTGAGCAGCAAAACTCCTATCTTTTCTTCGCCAACGATAGGGATTGAGGATACACCTCGACATTCTGAAGCCACCAAGGCTCGGGGAGGATATCCGAGCGGTCGCTTCGCGTTGGACCACCCGGAAGCATGTTTACGGGCCGTGCAATTCTTCGGAAGATTAGCAACCTTATGGCAACCTCCAATTTGAATGCCGGAGCATCGATTCGTCTTGGGAGAAAGGGAGTAACAAACCGCCCGCCGAAGCAATTTACTGAGAGGAACAGAAGTACGTCAATACTCAGAACAAACAAATGCTGCACCATGGGAGAGAAACACGAGGAGATAACGCCCAACTGAAGGTAAAGCACTGGGGCAACACTTGGAAGCTCCTGTTCCTATCTAGCTTATCGTTACCAAAACAAGAAAAAGAACTCATCAGGCCAAAAGGGTTTCCGAAGAACAGCATTAGCAATGGTGGGTGTGCCCCCAGCAAGATTAAGGGACGCCCACAAATCAGCAAATGCAATTGAGGGGGGGAGGCCTAACTACGCGACATGGGCAACGAGGAGTTAAAGAACTTACAGGGGGGAGATGGGAACGGGATTGCGGGAGGAGGAAGAGGAAGACGGAGACGGGGAGGAAGTGTTCATCACTTGGCAATTCATCTCGATCGCCCCGAGAGCAGGAAGGAAGACCCCACGCCAAATCGATAATGGCAATTCACGTCACCACCACAGCCGCGAGAGCGCGAAGAAGAAACGGGGGATTGGGCATAGGAGCAAAAAGCGAGAGAATCGAGAGCTAAGTGAAGTCGGGGAAGACGGAGGACTCAGCTCAGCTCAGCTCAGCTCGCAACCAAAGAGTGAAGGGAAGAGGAGAGAGAGAGAGCGCAGAGAGAGGAGGAGGTGGAGGAGGTGGTGGTGGTGGTGGGGGAAGGCGACGTATGAGAACTAAATTAACCCAACAAGGCCGCCCCTTCATTCCCTTCCCCCTCTCAATTAGTATTTTATCATATTCTCAATTTACTTTAATTTCAATGTGTATATATATATATGCATTTTTTTTAGAAGGATTTGCTAAATTGAACTTCTATTTTCATTGCATGAATAGATATTGCAAATCTAATATCATGCAATTTCGCCTAATAGCTTTCGGCATGCATTCCCCTCTACTACTATCAATCAACTCCAAACTTATACTCTCAACACAAAAATAAACTCACTTTCGAAACGAGCCGGAAAAAAAAGAAAGAAGATAAACTTTTGTTTGATAGATAAAAAATTTCAATATTGACTTTTCCATCCAAAGAAGTTTATTCGGTGGCTAACCGATGCAATTGCAGGGGCGGGCTGTTGGGGTGTGGTTCATTGTTCGTAATGATAGGAAGGCACGAGGGTCTCACTCATATGTCACACTTAAGGAATATCTAAAGAAATTTTATTTTTTGGGTAGTTTAGGCTTAGACCCATGAATCGCTACTGAGTATATATATCGTTTTCTTTTATAATTGAGGGATGTAACAAAAAGGTGTAATGTGATAATTATAGTGGGATCATCTGCTGAACATAGCCCTAATTTAAGGGTAAATCAAAATAAAAACCTTGTGTCTCGATTTTCTTTTTTCGCTTTTACTCTCTATTTCCTTGTGATTGTGCGCCGAATCCTAACATGGGCAAGTGTTGTTTTGAGTGATTACGAGTGATGTCTGAAGGATGAGGATAGATAAATGTAACATGCAGGATAGAATACGATTAGAACCAAGGCATATATAACGCACCACCAGCCAATGATCAAGATCGGGATTTACGAAGTTTACCACCAACGCTTACGGAACCAACCACCCACAAAGAATACAGAACTTCGGATAGGAAAACCTCACCACCAAACCCTACAGACAAATAATCAGCCAAAGATATAGTGCTTCTTGGCTCATGACCAATGAAGAATCAACTTTCCAAGGATATAGAAACCATGGATAGCTATTTGCTTATAAACAAATTTCATATATTCTCAATATTCAAATCGATTGCTTTACATTTGAGATTTCGCCTCTATTTATAGAGGAATTAATACATATGAAAACAGACAAACACTAAAGACATAGGAATTGCCCAATGTTAGTGACATGGGAATTAGAAAACAATTAAAGACCTAGGAACTAGAAAATGGCTTAAAACACCTAGAGACTTGAACTTTCTCCCTCGAAACTTACAACACATTTAAACTCATAAAACTAAGACTAAAGACATTTGACCAAATGCAAGTAATTATACTTATACTCTAAATTAGTTCACCAGCCTGGGCAGCCCAATAGACATCTTGAAAAATCGACAGACAACAAAGGAAACCGTCAAAAATAGCCTCCGATTGCTAAATAGTCAATTAGTAGTCTCATGATCGACAACAAATTTGTAAATCAACATTTACATAGTCAATCGACAACTTGCCCACTAAATCGACAACTCTCTTGCATTATTAACATCAACCCAATGCTCCCGCATCACTAACGACCATGACATGACATGACATGACATTGACAGGTTAGCTTAGTGAAAATTTCATTGCTTTGCTCCAATTATAATTTGAGTATTTGCTCAATTCGCTTCAAAATCCACGATTTGAAACCTTAATTTACGAGCTCGAAATGCTGATCAAGCTTCACGATTTGCTCGAACTCCACAAATTAGCTCAAAATCGATGGCTTGAATCCTAAATTTGCGAACTTGTTTTGGGGCAAAATCCCAGCCATCTTAATTCGCAAACTCAATCTGGTATCAAAAACTCTCTCTCTCTCTCTCTCTCTCACATCTGAAAAGAATAAGCCAAAACCCTACGTAACAGTACTTTTGCTTTAGGTTGGGTTGATTCTCTTCCAAGCCCAACATCAAGGCTAACAGAAAGGTCGGCGTGCTTAAACACGAGAGGATCTAACAAAGTGCAGCAGATCGCGGCAAGCCAACACATCAAGCAGCAAAAAGGTAATGCGATCGACTTCTCGGAATGCAAACTTCGACAGCATTTATTCATTCATCCTACGGCAATACCACGATTAGGAATCAGTCATCCTCAAGAGATGAAGCAGAAAATATCATTCTCTCTCAAGGAGCAACCCTTACACTTTAAAGCAGTAGTCAGCCTTGGTTCCATGAACCCACCATTTGGGACAATGCTAAGGAGGAGGAACCGCCCTCGGTCCAAGCCGCGATGCCTCTCTCCTTCGTCTCGGCGCTCCTCTCTCTCATATTCACCTCCATTATCAACTGCCTTACCCTTTTCTCCACTTCCTCTGCACTAACCATGAATTCCCCCTCTTTTCCTTTTTCATATGACCATATGGACTCGCTGATCGGCACCGCCAGCTTCATTTTCTCCACAAGGACCGCGCTGTTCATGCGCTGCTCTGCATACAATGGCCAAGCCACCATCGGAACCCCAGAACTCACTGCTTCTAACACCGAGTTCCACCCGCAATGAGTCACGAATCCCCCCACTGATTCATGCTTAAGTATGGCAGCTTGTGGTGCCCAAGACTTTATTACTAGACCCTTGTCCTGGGTCCTTTCCAAGAACCCTTGAGGCAGAAGGTGGTCTAAATCTGGCTCGGTTGCAATACTTGGTGGTGGATTTCTCACCACCCACAAGAACCGTTGCTCGCTTCTCTCCAACCCAAGAGCAATCTCCTTCACTTGTGCACTATCGAATGCACCCCGACTGCCAAAACACAAGAAGACAACACTTCTGCTTGGCTGCAAGTCTAGCCAGCACAAACATTCATTGACAGGCACTGTTGATACATCTGGCGAAGCAACACGGCCAATAGTGCGATCTTTTTCGTCTGCTATGAGTGGCCCAATACAATAGAGAGGTGGAGTCGTGCCGTCTGGAACATAAACACCATCTGCAACAGCCTTGATTGCATCTGGCTCAAGCAAGTTAAAGGTGTTAACTATAAGCCCCTGAAATTTGGGCAAAGATCGAGCAGAATCAAGGAAGTGATGATAGGTGGAAGCATTGCGATCAAGTAATGGTTCAGGTAGGAGAGAGGCTCTTATGGTAGGAAGGCCCGGTAAGTGCAAGACGGTGTCCTCCAAGGCTCCAAAGCTCTTGCTTGTCTGGTTGTGGATGGCAGGCAACTGCAAGAAAAAAGATAGAACAGAAACACAAGATGTGAAGTAAAAATAAGTAGGAATTTGAAGAAAATGATGTGGGATGTGGAAGGCTGAAGTTATAAGTGCGCGAACTGCGCAGTCGGCAGAGATGTTTTGGAGGGCATCCCGAACACCCGGGATGTTGAGCCTCATAAATTCGAAAGCGATATCCACTTGGTTGACGGACTGGTAAATGGACAGGAGGGAGATGGAAGAAGGATATAGGAAGATTGGTCTCATTATAGATTCGATCGATGTAGGAGGTGGTAGCGCTGGCCGTTGCTGGCATCGCTGCAACCAGAACTGTGAGGGTGAATTGTGGGTGATAATGCAGAATCAGCTTCCCAAGCTCCACCATGGACACCATGTGGTGTAAAGCAGGGGCTGCATACAGTGCTATGGTTTCTTGCATTTTCTTCTTGTCAGGGAGGGAGGGAGGGGCAGATGTTGGTATTGCCTTGAGTGAGAGGAGAGGATGAGCGGAAGGCATCCGTGGCAGTCTGCCAAACAATTGAGAAGTCCAGTGGAATGGTCAACAAGCCAAACTCTGACCTTTCCACAGACCGAGAAAAGTCATTGCGAGGCTAACCAAAAGACAAAAGGAAAAATGAATAAGTAAAAGAGAAAAATACTTAATTTTGGAACTGATGCGTATTCTCGCACAATAAGTGCCAAAAAAGTCCTAAACCTTTTGCATTTGTGCCAATTTAGTCCTAAATCTTTTTTTGATGCTAATTCAGTCATAAACATTTTGCATTGGTGCCAATTTAGTCCTAAACCTTTTTTTGGTGCCAATTCAGTCCTAAACCTTTTACATTGATACTAATTTAGTCCTAAACCTTTTTTTGGTGCCAATTCAGTCCTAAACCTTTTAAATTTGTGCCAATTCAGTCCTAAACCTTTTGTTTTTGTGCCAATTTAGTCATTCCGGCCAATTTTGATCTGAATTTACCGACGTGGACGCCTGCCGGCCAGTCACCGGCGCCGACGTGGCGCTGACGTGGACAACTTAAATAATATTTTAATATTTTTTGAATTTTTATTTTTTTCCCTTTTTTTTCCACTTTTTTTTTTGTTGGTCTCTCCCCCTTCCTCTAGCCGGTCGCCGGTCCGGCGACCGGCCAGAAGCCAGAGGCCGGCGAGGGCGAGCCTCGCCTTGGTCGGGCGAGGGCTCGACCTCGCCATGGTCGGGCGAGGCCCGACCTCGCCGAATCTGGCGAGGTTGAGCCCTCGCCATGGTCGGGCGAGGCCCGACCTCGCCAGATCCGGCGAGGTCAGGCCTCGTCCGACCAAGGCGAGGCTCGCCCACGCCTGGCGAGGCCGCCTTCGCCAGTGGCCGGTGAGGGCGAGCCTCGCCAGTGGTCGGCGAGGTCGAGCTCGCCGGCCTCTGGCCTCTAGCCAGTCTCCGGATCGGCGACGGGCCAGAGGAAGGGGGAGAGACCAACAAAAAAAAGTGAAAAAAAATAAAAATTCAAAAAATATTAAAATATTATTTAAGTTGTCCACGTCAGCGCCACGTCGGCGCGGGTGACCGGCCGACAGGCATCCACGTTGGCAAATTCCGGTCAAAATTGGCCGAAATGACTAAATTGGCACAAAAACAAAAGATTTAGGACTGAATTGGCACTAATTTAAAAGGTTTAGGACTGAATTGGCACCAAAAAAAAGTTTATGACTAAATTAACATCAAAAAAAAGTTTAGGACTAAATTGGCACCAATGCAAAAGATTTAGGACTTTTTTGGCACTTTTCCCCACAATAGTATGTCGAATAAAATAAGGTTAAATGCCCTAAAAGCAGTCAACTTAAACAGACATAAGAGTTCAATAGAATAAGCTATATATATCCTCAAGTTTGGGACTGTGATATAAGTGGGCTTCTTGCAGAAGCCACTCGAACACACACCTCTCTCCTCTTTCATCTTCACTTTACTGATAAAGAAAAAAACAATGGGACCGTGATTAATAAAGCACTCTGTCATGTTTCTTCCGTTGATATTTTCCGTTTTATTCATATCAAGTTCAAGATCACCCATTTGAGGAAAAGAAACTAAGAAGGAAAAAGAGGAAGAAAAATCAGAATTCTCATTCCTCCAGTATTCGAGGCAAACGCTATACAGTAGTTGAAAGTGAATAATCATATATTCAGTCGAATAGCTCTGTGAAAACCTGAATGCTCTCTATACGATCATGTCGCAGCAGTTCTCTTCTTTCACAATACCCATTGGTGGAGTAGTAAAAAAAACCAACTACTAGAATACAGCTATAAGCGAGACTACCGAAGCACAGCATGATACCATTTAACTTTGGTCACTCGAGTTACTGTTCCCACTGTGAGAGCTGCTGCCATCAACGTTCTGTAATGACAGAAACCTCACGTGGCCAGCCACAGCAGAGCCGGCCAACTTGTTTTCCTTGAAAAAATTTTCTCTCTCAACATGTTTTGCAGGCGGAGGCGGAATTGCGATGGGCAAAAGCTGCCCATTGGACTCAGATGACTCAGTGCACACTGGCTGTTTGAGCGGGTGATTTACTTGTCTTGAATTTGATTGTTCTAACGAGTCTAAAGTGTGGCTCCTCATAGAGCTCTCTTCATCTTCAGGTCTCACACAAGTTTTTCCTTTTCGTATCCTGCCATATGTTGTGTTAGACTGGATGAATTCATTTAAACAAGGAAGTCAAAAAGATTATTTGGGCAGCATAAAGTTGACAATCTGATAAGGTTATCTCCCGTGACAGATCCGACTCCTCAAACCAAACCGACCAAGATCCAGGATGCTCGGTCTACCTACCACATAGTACACGCAGAGACGAGTAATTTTTCAAGTAAGGTACCAGCCAAAGAAATAACAAACCTTCGGACAAGTTGTTGAGGCTCTTCTTCCTCATCCGCTTCACAATCTACATTAATTGCAGCCATCCCAGTTCTACCAGAAAATAGCACATCATATCTGTCAAGTAGATTCTGAAGTTGCTCGTTCAGTTCAATTGCCTGAGAAACTGTTTTTTCATCCCTGAAGGAGATGGACATAAAAAGGGAGCGGATCACTTCACCAGACAGTGTTTTAAAGTTAGTTAGAACGATTAAATATTACACCTTTATCTAATATTTTAGTGGTACAACATTGAGGCCCGTGCTCCACACAAGAGGAATGTGCTATATCTATAAAGTTCTATATCAATAATTGGAGACTGTATTTAGGCTTATTAGTGATATAGAAATCAGTGCAATAGTTATTTCAGTGAAAGTGATTCGAGCAATCTCAGATAAATCCAACCAATATGTGGTTATAGTCGTTAACAATGGAACCGGAGGAATGCTGGCAAAACAAAGCTGCAGAAAGCGGGAAAAGACCCTAACTGCGACTATTAGCTACTAGAATAAGAGAAGCAAAATACAAATTGAGGCAGAAAGGAGACCTCACCGAGATGTTATAACAACATGCATCACTTGTTGTTTTTGGAAAGAGCACTGCTCAACAAGATCAAGGGTGAACTCATCCTTGGCGCCCTACAAAAGCAACATAAGCAGTCAAGAGTACATAGGAGGTTTTATTAATAGAGGATGGAGGGAGAGTCTTACTTTTTAGCCAAATCCCCAGCTGCCTTATTTTTAAATACCAAAACTTACTCACTAACCTTAGGTACTTTAGCAAAACTAACTGGTGATACACCACTAATATTCTTCCACAATAAAAATGGCAACAAGAACTTCCAAAAAGACAGTATGAACTCATTCCTAATGAGGATACTCATACTTCCTTGACTAGTAGGGATTGCAGAGTACTTATGAAGAAAGTGAGATGCGCCATCGATTGACCTTCACTGATTAAGCTTGGTTAAAGATTGCAAAGACAATGCGAAATTACACCAAAAAACTTAAATATAGTCAGACTTACCATAGGATGTTGAGTTTGTTGACCATCAACATTATCAAGGACCTCTCTCAAAACTTCCAATGCATTCCTAGCTTTCTGAATGATACTGTATTAAAAAAAAAACAACAAAAAAGAATGAAAAACTGTTAAAGATTTGTTGTCAGGACAAATACAATATAAGTATGCTACAAAGTCTCTTTTTCACTGCCATGAAATCATATGCACATCCCCTCCTCCCATATGGTACATAAATCTTTACATTAATAGGTGAAACCCACGAGCTGGCAGGTAAAAATGCCAATATTTCCAGAAATCTTTCAACAAATCATTATCATTCTCAGTTGATGATGGGTGTCTAACTTTTCACTATGTTTTGTCGCTCAATTTTCCAACACAATGTTTCTGTATTAACATGACTATTTCCGGATAGATATACCCAGAGAGCTTGATAATGTTTTATTATCACGAGTTAGGTGTCCTAAGGTTCTGCAATGACTAGTATATGGCTGCACACTTACCTGGAGAGAGAGAGAGAGAGAGAGAGAGATTTTTTTCGGAGTCTATATTGCCAGAGGGGGAAGAAAAGAGAATCTAATACTGAGGATGGGATCTAGCCAAGGGCAGCTTGTTGGCACTTGGCAGTAGAGGATTGTGAATGACATGGATAGTTCGGACTCAATGCTCCTAAACCGCTAAACTTTACCATGGCAAAAAGGACGCTGAGGGTCCAAAGACTTCTTGAATGAGTTACTGGTTAATCTCATTTAACCCACCCCTACTTTTTTTTAGTCTGAGAGCAACATGTATTTTAGTGTGCATAATTCGCTAGCATAAAATATCCTAAACCCAATGCCCATGACAAGATCCAGTAATAAAAAGAATACATAAGTAGGCTAACAAAAAAAAATTCCTCTTTAAAGTGAATGGTCACCTTGATTCAGGAATGCACTGTACTTCTGGTTGCTGAGAAAGTCCATTCCCACTGGCAAACGCTACCTCCTGATCAGACACATTATTCTTATCTGCTTTTCTAGTAGGATTTGACGTTTCGTACACAATTCCTCGTACAGTAGATTGATCTGATGGTACAGATGGGTGCTGCTGAGGAAACTTCTATACCCTTGAGTTATTCGACAAAAGAAGGCCAGAGATCTTTTGAAAAATATGTACCTGAATTGGATGATTCTGACAACTCTAGAGTGTGCCTATGCTTGGAGTTCTCTTCGTTTTCAGGCCTCGCACAAGCTTTTCCTCTCCGTATCCTGCCATATTTTTGAACTCTGGATCAATTTTGCTCAATCAGGAAGCCCAACAATATTTTAACTCCAAACTATTTATAATGTTCATTCTATCTCCACACAACATGACCAACTTGAAGTAAACCGCCCGGTTGTTAAATAGTTTAGTTTGTGTATGCATCATTTGAAACAGATAGGAGTTACTTTTCAAGCCAGCCAGAGACATGGACAAACCTTCGGACAAGCTGTCGAGCTTCTTCTTCCTCCTCCGGTTTACAATCAGTACAATGTACAGTTGTTCCAGTTCTAGCAGAAAGAA